AAAAAAACAAAAAAAAAACTGAGAGGTTGCAGCCTGTTGATCACTGCGCTGTCTGAGAAATTACCAGTGGACTTCACTTTATGGATTCTTTATTGTGATAAGATTAAGAGCAGCAGAAGGCCTGGCGTTTAGGCCACTGCCCCATGTATGGGTCATTCCTCACTCTCTCATCTCAATTTCCTTCTCTGTCGACTGTACTATCAAATAAAGGCAAATCTGAGTTATCTTAGTTTGTTAGCTTGATGCTAACACATAAAAGAAATTGCTGTTAACAGGCTAACAGAATTAGCATCTTGAATGCAGTTATTTTAATTAACCAACATTATTTTTTACTGAAGAATGTTACTGTAACTAGATTCTTTCTTTAGCTTAGGCATGCTAAGTTAGCTTCTTAGCGTCTCTACAGTCTGTAATGCTACAGTTGTGTCATTGGTGAAAAGTTGGTGGGAGACAACCTGTTTTTTGATATTTAAACAATCATTTTCACATCTTTATTGCATAAAAAAGGTAGAGCTTAGCCCTACTTGCCAGACGTCCCTGCAGCAGTCAATGTTGAATGTTCAGAAACAAGACTAAGGGTATAGTAGCCATGCTTACAGAGTTTTCAGACTGAAACTACAGTAATGATGATTAGTCTCTTCACCTGTTTACTTTGGAATAGCATCCCAACAGATTTTGCTGATTAGCATCAAACAGAAAGCATATCAGAGGCTAATCTTAATTAATTAAATTCAACTGTCATTTCTGTTTGAATTAAAGCCATTACATAAGACATAGTTTGATGATGTTGTGAAGTAACCAGGGGTCATGGGAGTCGTTGTCTTAAATTTTAAACAACCACCATTGTTGTTGATGAAAATCGATGTGACATGACTCTTGATGTGAAATAACTCTCATGTAGGAGAAAGTGATTTATTCAATTAGATTGATTGATGTTATGTTTAGTCATGTTTATTCATGTCCTGTCTTTTTATTCTAATGAAATGGCTGCTAGTAACAATAATGTAAACAATAACGACTTCCTTCCCAACTTGTAGACAAATCGTTTGGTGTTCCCTTTCTACACTAGAAGACACGCCCCCAAATGCAATGCAACACTAATCTAAAAAAATATTCAGGATTTGTTGGTGCTGAATATTTATTCAACCTTAGAGAAAATAATAATTCACTTCTATACAAAATACTTATATTAGCCACTACATCTTGTGTGTTTCTTAGATATTTCAAGGCAGATAATGTGACAAACTATACCTTTAAATTGGGTCTTCAGTTGAGGCCATTTTTTCATTTCTGTGCTGATTACATTAAAATGTAATTTAACCTGACTCCAAAGAAGAAATATAATATTAATGGCTGAATAAACATGATGAAATATATATGACAACCTCAGCATGAAATGTTGTTTATCGACATCCTGCTGAGTGAGGAGTGTGGATCCAATTTCTACAGGCAGGTAGATTGTGTTTATGTTTGAGTCCAAAATGCCGCTGGGCTCCTTGAAAGAGTTTCATTTTCCTTAAAATGTGTAGTGTCGGAGCAGTCGAAACCTTTTAGCAGAGGAGAGGTTTTCGTCTGAAAATGTATTTGACTTTTGGTCTGGCTTCAGCCTTTGGGAATAAATTGACTTTTTTTAAAGGATTTAACACTGCTGTTGACATTCCCCCACTGTGATGGCTGCAGATATTTGCAGCAATACACAGTGTGTTTACTTTTATCACAATGATTAAGGTGTGTCAGAGTGGAGTGTCTCTGTCAAATCTGTCACCTTGCTTCCTGAGACCATGACCTCAAACATATGGAATTATCCATTATACACTGTAAAGAAATCCCAGATTTATCTAGAAAATAAAGAACAGTAACTGGGAAAAACATGGCTGTTGGCTGTGATATTAAGCAAAAGCTTAATATTGACTAAAAAGGGATGTAAACCCAGGTTTTCTGGACTGTTGATAAGCTGTTTTTGTATGTCCTTAGATGGATCCATGAGGACAGGCTTGAAAGAAAAATCCCTTTTCGGTTACATAACACAAGACCATCATATCACCTTTTTATAGCAGCAGGACATACGAGGTGATTTGAGAAACTTGTTCTTTTGTAATACCTTCTGAAATTTGCAGAGCATGTCAGGAGCACTGTAAAATGTCAAGCACTTGACTGATTCATAAATAGTACTGTCCTAAATCGTCTTTTCCTTAGAGAAATTTAGGCAGATTTACTACAAAATTATGTCAGACTTCCAGAAAAAGTAATTGTCTGTTTAAGCAGATTATGGGAATGTGAATACAGGCCGCAGAAAATGTTCTTTTGATCATCCACAAACACACTCACATTGCAGAAAACACCTAATGTTTGAAACTGGATTAAAAGTCTAATGGTCTCAAGTACCTTGTGATTATTTCAAATTCTACAACAAAGCAAGCAGTTTTGTGAAACTGTTCTCACAGCAGCGCTTAAAGGTAAATGATCACAAAACAGTAGCAAGATAAGATTGCCATGTTGGGACACTGAAGCTTCAGCGTTTAGCCAACTCTGCTTTGTTATTGAAACCTTTCTGTGTTCTAACCTCTCCCCATTTTCAAAAGCATCTCCAATATTTATACTAGTTTTACCACGTTTCTGGTCGTGGAGATTATTTGAAAAATGCAGAGGCCTTTTTAGGTCGGGTAGAACCTGTTATATCTGAACCAGTTTACTTGCCATCGCTGCAAAACCTGTTGGTTTGCCGTGATAACTGGTCTCATATCTAGCAAAAAAAGGGGCGTCCAAAAAAGCTGTGTGGGGTGCCTTAAAACAGTCTACCTTCTCTGGTCCAAACAAATTCAGACCATACCAGTCCTGAATGGTCCTGAATGGACTGAAACATAGAACGAGGACATGCTGGCTGCTGCATTATTGTCAGACGAGCAGGGACTTCATCATAGCATGTTTCCTTAATGTCTTATGATATAGTAAGGTCATTTTATGCTTTAATTCAGGAGTGATCTTACATTATTTTGCTCCTTGAAAGTAACTAAAATACAGTAACTTCAAGGCTAATGGAAAATGTTAGTTCTTCTAGGCAATAATAGACTAATCCATCCATTATTAGTACTGCTTTGGGCAAGAGGTGGGGTGCACCCTGGATTGGACGCCAGTCAATTACAGGGCTACAAAAGTATTTATTTTTTTACTTTATGATGATGCGAAATAAAAAGTTAGGAGAATCGAAGTGTTCACAAAATGCTTGGCTGATTCATAGAGGAAAGTCAGGGAATCACAAAGTGTGAATTTTTTAAGCAAACCTTGGAAAGGGATTTGTCTCAGGATCCAATGTGATTGACAGACTGGAAAAAAGAAAGAAAAGCCCTTTAGGAGAACCCAGTGTCAGGGGTCTTGTAGAAGTGGGAGAATATGACAATGTCTCCTGTTTCTGTGTGTGACGCTTTCAGTCCAGCAGACAGAACAAATCCTCTGATTTGAGTGTGTCACAGACACAGAACTGCCTGACAGGATGAACTCTACAGGGATGAGATATAAAAGAAGCCAAACCAAGGAAGGTATGCATGGAGATAATCATAAGGGTTTTCTAGTGACAGCCCTCCCTTGGCAGCATAGAGTGTCTGCTCTGAATGGGTAGAGCTGCTGAACAAAACACTCACACACGCACGCACACACACACACACACACACACACACACACACACACACACACACAGGACATGAATTACTAAAAGGTTAGCCGAATAACAATTGATCCTTATCCTTTCATTGAGGGCGATGAACTTTGGCCAGAAATCACATTTCCGAACACGTGTACGTATAGCTTGTGGAAGGTCCCCCCGCTCCTCTCCCCCTCCCCTTTACAAAGCCTGAAGGTATGAAGAGTATGATGTTGTCTCCCTGATAAAATCCTGAGGTCTTTAAAAGGTCTAGGTAAAAATGAAGAAAACCAGATAATAGAGGATGTATGTGAAGTCTAATTTGTAGTTTAGAGTCCTTCACATGCAAATCAGTGCAGTTGTTTGGTTTTCTGATTGTCTTAAGAATTATTTATTTTCATATTTTATGAAGAATCTGCATGAACTTAATAGATTATCCTTTTTCTACAATGTCAATCTTGCAAATACAGTTGGACAAATTTACACTTCCTAAACCCTCTTAGCTCATTTTTTTTGCGTTGAATGAAAGCCAAACCCCCCCCCCCCAAAAGAAAGCGTGCATCAATTATAAGCAGCCTCTTTGATTTTTCTCTGAGGAAATGATGTAGACCAGAGCAGACGGTGAGTGCGAGTGAACATTGGATCTCATTAGCCAAATGGCAAGAATCATGCTCATTTCAGCATTAAATTGAACTAAGAATGTGTGTCTTTGAGTATGTTGCTCTGCCTGCTAGAGGTCAAGAAGCACTTAAAGTTGAGATGGATTAGAGAACGCCGTTTTTAATTAAATCCTCAGCATTTTCAGCTCTGTGCACCCGTTCTTTCTGAGTGTGTTTTTTTAAATTATGACCAAATATAACCAGAAATCGGATGTTTCTGTTCAACACATCCAGGCATGTGTTTATCTGATATTCAACCAGCCAATCTTAACTAATACCACAGGGGATAAGGGATCTGATGAGGGTTTAATATGTGGTAGTTGCATCAATCTTACAAGAAGAAACAAAGGGATTGCAATGGCTTTACTGATTTCCATTCTAAATAGCTTCATAAAGGAAACTTACTTATATTTATATGTTAGTGAGTCCAGTCAGAGGCTTAGGGAAATGTAAGAAACCACAGCGGTATATTCAGCACAAAACATTGAATATGTAAATATTTAACTTACACTTTCAACATTTTATGATGTTAAAGTCTTTCACTTGCATAAAGACATAAAGTCCTCTCTTTTTTAATCTCTAACGAGTGCATTTTGTACTACCTGAATTCCCACTCAGGTATGTTTTCATGTGAACTCAAAGGGGTGTAGAGCAGGTGATTAGAAACAGACTCATTGTCTCACTCTCTCGTCTGTTTTTTGCAGGATGTAATACAGAGTGGGACGGCATCGGTTGCTGGCAGAGAGCTGATGTAGGACATGTGGTCAACATTTCCTGCTCTGAAGTCTTCCAGCATTTCTCCAGCAATCAAGGTTGGTTCCCACGTCTCTCCACAACATCCCAACATCCACTAAGAAAGTGAACTTATGTTCAGTTCCATTCATTTGATTAACAGAATAGTTCAAGAATACAGGAGTCGTGCTTTCAGCTGGTGCAGTGTGACTCCACCACTGAGTTTATGAGCGGAGTGTAATCTGCAGTGCTGTTGCAAGCTGGAGTCTCTCTGATGAAGGCGCACAGTGATGAAATATTCATGTTTGTTAGTTGGCAGGATTATATATGACCTGGGAAATTTCTGGCTGAAGAAATGACGTGAGATGTTGTGTACAGGCTTTGAAACATCACAGTCTGACGTCTTCTCGGGCTGTTGTAGGATTTGTGGATCGAGAAAAATTGCGCTCATGTCACCAGAAGAGACACTTTCTGATGACATGATTGTTGAGGACATAAAGATGTTTTCTTAATCGGGACGTTTCATATCAAGAGTTGAGTTTATGTCCTGTTTGACTTTGGACAAACGTCTTTGTTGTTGTCTTTTCAATCTGAAAAATAATTTCATGGTTGAAAATAATTAAGTGTTGTGTATGAAGTAATCTTTTATCAATAATTCGTCACATTTGAGTGTTTATTAGAAAGCTAGTGTATTTAAAAAAAAAAAAAAAAAAAAAAATCTTGGTACCTTTGGTCTTCCCGTTTACTGGCAGGCTGTAAATAAACAACGTAGGACTGTTTTTTCCTGTTGTCTTAGGATTGTCATTATGATCGTCATCATCATCATCATCATCATTATCATTATGGGAAGTGGGGTCAGGCTGAACCTTGATGGAAATTGTAGCTCATTATGATCTGAATTGCAGATCACTCCGTTAGACCAGACTGAGAGTGAACAGAGGGAACAGAGAAAAATCCATTGCCACCCATTTCTGTGTGTGTGTGTGTGTGTGTGTGTGTGTGTGTGTGTGTGTGTGTGTGTGTGTGTGTGTGTGTGTGTGTGTGTGTGTGTGTGTGTGTGTTTGTGTTTTAGCCTGAATGGTCTACCTGCTCCGAAAACATAAAGATGTTAAAATCCCCCAAACACCCAACTGCTGGAAGACACGAAACTCACAACTTTCTCCTGATCCCTTCTGCTATCAAATGGACATTTACAAGAACTGACTGTCAGAGGACTTGAACACGATGACATAAAAGCGTTAAACGTTTTCTGACTGGATGAACTGATGGAGTGTAATGGTCCAAGAGGAAATGCCAGTGAAGCCATTCAAATGTGGAAGAATGACAGCTTTCTAAATCCATGTAGCTGTCATTATAGCAGTTTTTTGGGGCTAATAATTAACAAATTCTGTTTTGATTTTCTGAGTTTATTTTGTGAGACGTTCTGTGAAATCTTTGCGATGGTTGAACAACGCCACATTCCCCTCACAGGGCATGTTTACAGAAACTGTACAGAGGGCGGCTGGTCTGAAATGTATCCACACTACGAGGAGGCATGCACTTTCAGTGACGACAACGAGCCTGAGACTGAGGTGAGCATGTTGTAATCAGACCAATCAATGAACCTTAATCACATCTTTCTGTCTCCTCTCACTTTGTCCTCCACCACAGCTTCCTTTACTGTACCTCTGACTCCTTCGTTGCTTAAGTGAATACTTTCTCAATTGGAGCCACACTGGTCAATAATAATTGAGAATAATGTCAATAAGTGGAATGCATGGATTAAATGACATGCCACTGCAGTGTGCAGTATACAAAGCCTGCTTGCTGTAATGTTGCTACTTAACAAGTCAAACACTTACATAGATGGTAATGTGAGGGACATTTCACCCAAGCATTTATTTGTTCCTTCATGTTTACCCACTCTGTTTTCTCTCTCTCTCCAGACGAGTTACCTCTCTACATTCAGACAGGTGTACACTGTGGGCTATGCCACCTCACTTATCTCTCTTATTACAGCCATTGTGGTATTCACAGCCTTCAGGTAAGACCAGAGAAGCACACACTGTCCTTGATACACACATACACACAGTGGAAAAACATAGACATCAACTAGGACTCCAACATTAATGCTGTAAGGTACTGCACTGACGCTTTAAGAGGAGTTTATAGCTGTAACATTTTTCAAATTGCAGCTTGTTACATTTCAAAAGGGGCGCAAATATCCAATCATTTAGCAATCATTCAGATATAGATAGTTTGATCGACAACATGTCTGTAAGGCTGAGGATTTAAAGTGTAAATACTTTACAGTTGTGATTGTATAATGAGATATTATATAACTGTGAGTCTGCCACAGGCAGGTATCATTTATACAATGTTTTCTAACCAGCCAACCATAGAGTATTGACACACACACACACACACACACACACACACACACACAGATGAGTTTAGAAAGGGCCAATTAGTTAAGCTGCAAGTGGATATTTAACATAACGCTGCATTAAAAGCTGATACAATGGAAATGAGTGCTGTTTTACATAATCTTTTTTTGTGCTTCTTTCAGGAAGTTTCGCTGCACTAGAAACTATATCCACGTCAACCTGTTCTCCTCCTTCGTCCTGAGAGCCAGCGCTGTTTTCATCAAAGACACTGTGCTGTTTGCTGATGAGAATCTGGACCACTGCTCAGTGTCCACGGTGAGCACGCTCATTAGCCAATCATGTCCCTGTCGTACAGCGGATACCTACATCTGTGTGATTGAGTTAGAGACGGAAAAAGACAGGGAAGACAAGTCAAAGAGAGGAAAAACATGTGGCTAATACTAAATGGAAAAAAAAACATGTACTAATCAACAACATTGGCAAATTCTTTTTAGAACAATAGTTATAAGCATGTATGTTTTTATAAGGCGGGTTGAATTTTGAAGTGCAACTGAACATGTGTGTGAGTTAAATGTTAAGAGTACAACCCCTACATCATTAGTTACTGTGTTTTGTGTTGTCGTCTCTAGGCAGTGTGCAAGTCTGCTGTGGCTTTCTTCCAATTCAGCATTCTGGCCAATTACTTCTGGCTGCTGGTGGAGGGCATGTATCTGCAGACGCTACTGGCCCTGACCTTCGTCTCTCAGAGGAAATACTTCTGGTGGTACATCCTGATTGGATGGGGTAAATAGAATTTCTGAAAAGGGTTCTGTGAGGAAGGAAAGACCAGGACAGACTAGGATATGAACATGAATATGATACTAAAAAAAACATAGACACACATAAACAGAAGAAAAATATCTAATTTAATTATCCACAAAACTCATAATATATCCAAACTGTTGAAACTACTTTTCAAAAAAATTACTATTTAATATCGTGGGAAATATTACTTTTAATATTGGACTATATTATGTTCATTATCATGTGCAATATGTTTTCTATATCAGAATCCATGAACAATATTAACTTTACAAGTATTACTCTGTGAAATTTTTCTTTTGCTTTTCTATCATGACCATGTTCAAATTAAATGTGCTTGTTTTGTTTGGGATTGAGGGCAGTTTCCTTTGCCTTTCATACTGAAATATTGCACATTTAAAGTGAGAAAGTCATCTTTGAATGTACCTTGTGTCATTCATGCACATTTGTGCACTGCAGTGTTTTCAGTTATTCAAACCAAGCAACAAATGTACCAAATGTTTGGACACTAAGTTTCTGACCAGTTTCTAAGTCCATTTGTTTTTCCCAGCGTTCAAATAGATCTTTTTATTTACTTCATATGCAAACACCTCTAAAATCCCTTTGCATTCTGTTATCTGGACACACCTCACAGAAACTAAAAAGGACATCAAATTAAGCATTTGTTTTACCTTGAGCATATGGGTGGCTGGTTTAAGTGCTGTCACCTCACTCATCTGAACAGATAAGAAAACCACATAAGAGTGTACTTTATACAACAGCTGTTCTTTGTGAGGCTTTGTACACACAGGTTGTGATTCATATGGTAATCTGAGTCTTTTGTTTGTTGCTCTTTGATTACAGTACACTGAATGACACTTGAATGATTTACGGTTTTTAAGTCTACCTCTTACCACATTATATATTCGCCTTGAGGTGGTAATCTAATTTTAGACATTGATTCAACATTAGCTTTTGTCTTGTTTAAGCATTTCGTGATTACAGCTGCACTGTTTCATCGCCTCTATCTGGGATGTTAGCCTAATTTTTGGATCTTGAACTCTCTACAGATGTTAAGGTACCTTTGCTTTGTGTTATTATGAGTTGCTCAGTTAACTGATTACAATAGTCTGATTCTTGTTGCTACCCCTTTGTCTTTTTTGTTTCCTGCATAGTTTGATGTTGAAGCACTTGTTTCTAATGAAATCCATTTAGAGCAGCAGTGAATGTGAGAAGCAGCAGCATACCTCCTAAAGGTTCGGGAGTACGAAGCTGAGTTTTTTTTTTTAAAGATTTACTTTTTGGGCGTTTTGGGTCTTTATTGGAGAGATAGGACTTTGGATAGAGTTGTAAATCGGGGAGAAAGAGAGTGGGGGATGACATGCAGAAAAGAAGCCACAGGTCGGATTCAAACCTGGACGGCCTGCTTGGAGGACGTTAGCCTCTGTAAATTTGGTGCCAGACGAACCACTGTTCCACAAGCACCCAAAGAAGAAAATAGTTTTTAAGGGAGTTGAAACTTGAGACAGTTTTTAGTGCTCATGATTGGTCCAGCATGTCCTGTTTGTGGTTCACTTCAAAGCTTTTCGTTACTGAGTAAAACTCTTATGTAATTACAAACAATGGCAGCTGGAATATTGTTGCAGGCCAAAATATTTCCCTGTACTTTTAATCTGCGTTGTATACATTTATATGCATCATAGAACCTGTCATTTGAACTAATCTGACCTTCCAGTTTTCTGATTAGTCTGACTTCTGAATGGCTGCCATGGATGGCAATCTGCTGCAGCTGTGCCTACATGTTGTAGGTAATGGAGAAAAAAATATGACAGTCCCCGAAGAAAAGTTACATCACAGCAGTTTCATGCTTACATGGCTGCACACAAGAAAAGAGCACATCTCTGATAGCCACACTGTAGACCTGGCCAAGCGTGGAGGTGCTTTGGTCCTAGAAATGGGATCCATCAATTTATTTATAACAGACACAAAAGTAGAAAGGTAGAGGGAAAGATTCAGAAGGCAGAGGAGGAATTCTTATCACCACAGCCTTGTACACTTCTTTTTATACATTAATACCTTGTCATAGTTCTTACATCATTTGAATTAATATAATTTGTCTTTCCATTTCTTCAACAACCCATATAACAAACCCTTCCAGTGTTGATACCAATGTACGCCCTTACTTTCAATCTTTGAAATATATCTACTTTGGGGCAGAATCTTACTGGCATGCTCTGACCTAACCCTAACCCTCTGTTGAGGTTAGTAGATGACAAAATGTGTCTACCCATAAGCAGATCTGAACCCTTTTTTCTTGCACTCTACACATGTATTCGAGCTTCTCCTCCATGTTCTTAATCTTAAACTTGAAGTTCTGTAAAAATCATTCCACTGGCCAAAGGAAGCACATGTAATCAGTGCAGCATATAGGTTTTTCATGCTGATTCTTAGAAAGCCAAATAAATAAGAGGAGATGAGTTAATGTCTTGCTTGATGCAGAGTTTTTGTCTGTAATGTATTCTGTGTGCAATGACAGTAAATGCTGTTTTGTAGTTGAACAGAAACCCTAACCCTACACTACTGGAAACTTTTTTCTGCATCCATGCAAGGTGACAAAGTATATCCTGAAGCTGTTGCAATGCATGCTGCAAAATGACAGCAGGATTATGGACTGTTATCCAAGTAAACTCTGGATGTCAATGTGTCATTCCTGAGGTTAATTTACAACCCGTGGTTTATGTTTATGTGTTTATTTGCATCTGCCATGTTTACCCATCATGCATAGTGGCTCTGATGTATTTTATCAGTGTCTTCGCAGCTTGAACTCTAGCTTACTCTCTCAGCTGCAGCCTTCTTTTAACCTTTGTATTTTTCTTCTTCAAACATGGAGGTGTGGAGAGGAAATTGATTTTTTGATAAACACAATGCATGCTTAAAGAAATGTTTTATTCCAACATGCAGTGAACATGTAAGCTTTTTTTATCCAGGCAGACACACAATGCATAGCAATGAATCTCTGCTCTTCTTTTGTAGGACTCCCGTCAACAGTTCTTATACTCTGGGTGTTGACCAGATTTTTCTTTGACGACAGCGGGTACGATACAAACAGCCTCTGACTGCTTGGCAAACAGTGTTAAACATCAGAAATACGAGTTGTAGTTTTTATTGCTGTGTGTGTTACTTTGATTGGATTGTTACATTTTCTATTTTTTTCTTTTGGCTTCAATTTCAGTTGCTGGGATGACACAGAAAATGTTGCTATTTGGTGGATTATTAAAGGGCCGATAACAGCCTCTCTGCTGGTGAGTTAAGATCAGGTAAAGTGCCTCTCTTCCAACTGACCGTTAGCTTAGCCCTTTGAGGCTACTGGTCAGTTAAGCTACACAGTTGGGTTTATGTTTGTCAATAGTTTCTATCCTTGAATCTTTCCTGGCATTACCTCTCAGGTGTTACAATTGATTCTTATTCATTTAAGAGTTCAAAGATGTCCAAAATATACATTTGACCTGAACAATAATAACAGTAATAATTTTGCTAACTAAAATGTTCTTGTGGATAAAAATCATTCTGATTTAGAACACATGTTTAAATAAGAGACATGCTTGTTTATATCAGAAAAGTGGTTCTACTAACTACAAATGAATTTATGAATCCATCATTGGACCATCTCTTCTCCGGAGAAGTTTCAAGATTAATCAACTGCAAATCACTCAAACTGAATTTAAGTCTTTATTGATGGAATTGGATAGTAGCTATCTTTTTTGTCTATTAAAATATTGAGCGTTTTGTAAATAACTCTTGGGTAATGAAGCATATGTGTGATCATCTTTCTATCAGGTTAACATCGTCATCTTCATCAATGTGATCCGGATTCTGGTTCAAAAGCTCAAATCTTCAGCCATGGCGGGAAACAATGACACCGGACATTTCATGTGAGTCTCAAACAAACTGGACCTTAAAGTTGTACAGAGAAACAAACAATCTTCAGAGTCCCTTAGGGAACATTTGAAACCTTAAAAATGGTTAGCTCTACAATCAGAACAATCAGTCGTCTTTGAAAGAGCTTTCGGAGAACCCGAGAAGGAACGTTGTGAACACATGAATGTTACATTTCCGTAAGTCATTGACCTTAAAACCTGAGACGCAGTTAGTAGTGTAGCAGCAGAGCTACAAGTGAGAAGTGCCGGGCTGTAAAAGCTGACTTGCACTCCTGACAATGAGATTAGATGTTGTTTCACAGCAGGAAGCCGGCAGCTGATGAAGGGACCACTGATTGCGAAGGTTGAAGGAAGCACACAAAGCCAATCAGCTAATGCAGGCGCGACTTTAGAGCGCTGCCTGAAACAAACAAAGTCCTTTGTATGGACATTCATTTGACTTCACCTTCCTTCCTATTTTCATTTAAATACTCAAACTGGGACTGTTTAAGAATTGAATTTGGTGACGTCGGTGGCTTAGTGGTTAGTCTGCACGCCCCATGTACAGAGGCTGTTGTCCTCAAAGCGGGCCGCCCGGCATCGAACCCAACCTGCGGTTCATTCCCCTCTCTCTCTCTCTATCTTTCTCTCTCCCCCAAATTTCCGACTCCACTGTCCTGTCTCTCAAATAAATGCATGAACAGCCCAAAAATAAACCTAACAAAAGTAAGATTCAAAAACTATTAAATTGAAGCTTTTTAAGGTAAAAAAAACACCAAAAGGTCTGAATCTCAAATAAAGAAAGGTTCTGGTATGGGCAAGATTTACAATATATATTCAAAGAAGTGATTAAGGAAGGCCACACATTGGTAGTCTTCCTTTGGTAGTTTTTTTCTTTCATGTCTGCCTGCGGACACAACACCTTACAAAGGTATGTGTGAGGTCCTACCACTAGTTTCCCTCCAAGAATTCAGAGCTTCTGAAAAAGAACACTATCCGACTATGACCAGTATGACAAAACCTCTTTTTGATTGTTTACACTGTGACAGACGTTTAACGTCCAACACAGAATTGAGTGCAATAATCCTGGTGATGCCCAGACTTTCTCTTTAATTCCACTGATAAGCCACTATTTTAATTTGTCGACTACGGAGCTTAAATTTAGTGAAAAAACATGATTACATTTACTTTGCCTAATACAACATACCTGATGAAGCCATGCAGGCCAAACAGGTATGTTGTATTTAGTCAAAGTAAATGTAATCATGTTTTTTCACTCCATTTAAGCTCTGTAGTCGACAAATTAAAACTGTAGCTTATCGGTGGAATTAAAAAGAAGACGTCTTTCAGCCCTCTTGTGTGTGGTGAATCATCTCATTTAGTGTCAACATGATGTTTCCTGCCGTCACCTGCACCGAGATACACATGTCATACATGACAGCGCTGTGTACAGGGCAGCCACTTAAGTATAAAACTATTGACATTCAGATCGGGAAGGGTAAGCTTTGTATCCAAGTTTATCAGGGAATGTGAGCATGCCAATACTTCTCATTCTCCTCAACATATTGATGATCATATGTGCATAAGGGTTGTTGGTTCTACATATTGATGTTAGCATGCAGTTTAAAGAATAGTAGCGCTTCACTGCAGCTACAGAGTATCACAGCATGGCATTAACTATTTATAGAAAATCATCACATGCAGATAAATAACGAGGTGGAAAAAAATCCCCTACAGAGAAAGGAGGCTTTATAGTGTCCTGTACTGATTTGTCTTTTTATTGTTGTGCTTGTTTGGTTCTGTTATTTTTTGTGTGTATCTGTTGTTGAGTTGTTTTTATTTTAAAGGACCATCTAGGGACACAGGATTGCAAATGAGCTTAGGCTATAAATGCAGTAGTGTGTGGCGTCAGCTTACTCGCTCTGTACTTGTCCCTATACGAATAAACATGAAATAACATGGAATAAAAATTGGATAGTTATGTCTCTTTTTTTAATGCAATACATTTGGAAACAGGTTGCTTCTTAAGCGATGAAGCTCAAGTGTTCAAAGTGTAGGTAAAACTGAGGGATGGCTGTTTCTCTAATGAGTTTTCTGTAATGATGGAAAGGAAACTTCGTTGACGCAATCCCTATATAAAATATTTCTTCCTAAAAGTTTAAGAAAAAAAAAAATGTCTCTAAATCTACTCTGGGAACAAATCTTTCCCTCCGTTTTCAGATGCGGTTTCTCGGTGCAGGTTCCTGCTCAGCTGTATCAATATAGAATGAGTGCAGCACATTAAAAATAGCACCTGGATACCAGAAATAGATATCATCTCATCACGAGGAGTGTGACAGGATTGTTCCGTCACTTCAGAGGCTGTTGATCTTTCAAAGGCTTCATCCCTTCGTCTTTCGAAATCCAATCTGATTCAGACGGATCTGTGAAGTTTACACAGAAGCAGCAATCCCAGCTGTGACAAAAGACAAACACAATCCTATTATAGGCTTGAAAATAATCTCTTTTTTTTAGATGCTTAGTCAGTGATGTTATTTCGGATCAGAGTGAGTATCTTTGTTATTAAGAATATTCAGATGACTGTTTTTGTGTCTTACTACATATTACAACTTGACTGAGATACTTTGAAACTGATATTATCATCGGAGGAATCAGCAACGTGTGGACATCTTTATCAGGATTAGACTCAGCCTTTTTATTGAACTGTGATAGATTATGTTCTGTAATCTTGATCTTTAAACGTGCTCCGGTAATTCACCATCTTCATCTTCATTATGAAAATCAAATAGGGGGGCTTCAGTGTTAGTTGTGTTGTTTGTGGGACATGACGTGGAGCTATCTTTCTTTAAAGTGACAACTGGCAAAATCATGTAATGATGTAAAGGCACCGCAATAAAAAACATTTATGCTTTTTTGAGATATCTGATTGAGATTAAGCTTAGAGGAAAATGCGTCATATTTTTGTGTTTTGACATTTTCAATCTGATCCTCTGATTGGCCTGATGACGATATTGTTTTAAAGGTCAGTTTGAGAGTTTTGATATCCGCCACATACAGTCTAAGTCTGATTACACCTTGCAGAATAATGGAGTTTGCATTCTGGCATTTAAAACTTCAACACTGATTTCAATCAGGACAGACAAGAAAATGATTTAGTACAACAGATAACATGGAAATGTGACTTGACAGAAGGTCTTTGGCGCTTGGACTCTATGGTGGTTGATGTGTTTGGAGAATGTCAATTCTGAGCGTCAACAGAATAAATCCCCCCCCCCCCCATTTTTGCCTAGGGCCCCAACAGACCCTAGAATCGCCACTGAACTTAATCTAGAGCATCATTAGCCTGACACTGATGAAGCTGAATTGTATATGTAAACTCTGAAAGGCTATATTTAATGCATTTGTGGAGTTTTGTTGCTAAGACGATACATGAGATACTATAAGTAATAATCAAAGTCAGATAAAAGATAAAAACCTGAGTAATTATTATTCATTTTAAAATTCAATACTCAAAGAACTTTGTTTAACCTGGACTGTGAGACTGTGGTTTGATCATTTTTGAATGACACTGGCCAGGAAACTTATGTGAACAATGCACAACATGCCCTAACATTTTGATTAAAAAAGCCCAAAATCCTATTGGTGCACAGTTTTACGCTACTTCACAATTTCTAAATAGAGACTCTACTCACTTCAAATAACTAAAAAGAGTACAGATTAAAACCAAATTACAGACATTTCTCATGGGATGAAATCTGAACAGTTCTTTTCCTGGGAGAAATTTGCTTTCACGTTGTCACGGGCTAAAAGTTAAAAGATTCAGAAAAAGGGACCTTCTCGTTCAAATAATTTAATATTTGGGTATTTTAATATGATGTGGAATTATGATTCGTTTTTCCTCTTTCATTCTTTTCTTTAGGAGGCTAGCTAAATCCACCCTGTTCCTCATCCCTCTGTTTGGGATGCACTACACAGTGTTTGCCTTCTTGCCTGAGAACACTGGAGTGGCAGCGAGACTCTACATCGAGCTGGGGCTGGGATCCTTTCAGGTACAGATCAATGAAGAGCAATACACAACATCAGGTCTGCACAATAACAAACTTAATTAAGACAGAGCTCATTAAAGTTACCTAAGATCATATGTGGATTGTAAAGGCCTGAAACTCAAGCAGTTATATTAGACTCATTATTTAGTGTCAAGTGGACAAGTCATATTGGTAAAAATAATCTTTAATGGACTACTACTGTAGGCTATTCAGGGTGAATATTTGCAGGTATACTCCAAAACACTCTGAAGCATCTGTGTTGTTGTTTAAGTTTGGCAAGTAGAAAATTCACTTCATGTGCTGTCTGATCAAAACTTTATAGATGATCATTTATTTGCAAATTCATATTGATGAAAAGGTCCTTAAAGGCAGGCTGGTTAATATGAGAGCCTGACACCATAAAAAACTCCATAAAAGTTTGATGCCTTAAATGTCAATTGAAGAAAGAACATTTTTAGGGTGTAATTAAATGTTTTTATATGATGTTTCATCAATGCTTACACTGAAAAATGAACGTGCAAAAGTAGTCATAATAAAACATTTTCACTTTTATTCTTAGATTTATTGATTATTTGAATGAATGAGTTTTGTATGATTGAATGGTTTAGATTTTAAAACAGTGTCCATGTCTGTCTGTGTTGCAGGGTTTTGTGGTGGCATTGCTTTACTGCTTCATGAATGGAGAGGTAGGTGAACAGGTGACAACAGAAGAAGAATAGGTAGTTACCTAGGAGGAAAAAAGGAGGAATCTTAAGCTGACACATGTGCCATTATACAAGTTTAACAGTATGCATTTACTATATCCACTATGTGGCTGTCTTTTCTCTGATGTCAAGCTCAGTCTGAGAACAGAACCAGCAGTAACTTGAATTCTGACAATGTCCCCCCAGACTCCTTAGTCATCTACACATGTGTTTGTCTGCAGGTCCAAACAGAGCTGCGCAGATGGTTATGGAAGTGTCGCAATCAAAACCATCTCACCCCTGCAAAGCAAAGTATCACACAGATCACGATTCGAGCCCGTGGGGGTCTCAGGAGGCCTCCTTCTAGCGGCAACATCTCTACAGTATGATTTTAGGAAATTTTCAATGACAGAAAGATGTTGTGGAAATGTCAGGCAAAACATCAGAGGCAAATGCTCAACTCACTGATGGCATTAATTATACAAAACCTCTGTGAGCAGACAATAATGAGCAGAGCACTGGTGAATGATTGCGGAAATGTTGCATCAGGATGCAGTATATTAGCGTATTAGTGAATGGCTGCATCACAGCAAACGCAAAAGGGTAAAGAATGCCTGGTGCCAAATTTGTACAGATGTTGGGGTAACACTGGAAAGATGACACCAAACTAAAGACAGAGCTGTCCCTGAGCTTGCATGAGGATGATTTTAAAAGGTTGTGCTTACAGTTTGGACCACAAAAATGATCAAATGTTTGGGACATTGGGACAGCAGTGGAAACAGTGGACATGTTTGCTTGGATAATTTATGTAACTCTTATCTAAATGTTCTGTGCTGCACTGAACAGAAAGTCATGTTTAAAAGTATGTGCAGGACTGATCTTGACTCAGTATCCTAAAGGATTATTTTTTTTCAACGATTAACTTGCTGCTACAGCCTTTTTAAACATGAAGATTCAGATGGACCAGAGTGAATGTATTTAATGTTGTGTGTGATGTGTTTTGTCTTCTTTTTCCCCACCTAGTTTTTGTCTTTATACTGTTGTTTGATACATATTTCACACAGCAGGTTATAAGATATAAATAATAAGATGCCAGGATTTCATGGTAAACTGCCTTAAATGGTACGGTAGAGCGAGACTAAGCATTTCAATTGTAACAGAAACAGTGTCTTAACATTCATGTGTTTGTCTGCAGTTTCTCTTAAGCTCATAGCCCATTTATGATTTGTCTATTTCTTCATGGCAGTGATTTAGAGAAAGGCAGAGTTGTTCATCCCTGTTCTATTTATATGTATCTCTGGTCTGTATAGACCACAAATAATGCACTGTAATGTAAAATCAAGCACTTCAGCTGTCAATGCCAGTACGCATAAAGGTTTAACATTGGAGGTTTTTTTTTAATTGTATAACTGTATTTCCATTGTATCCTGGATCTGGGGAGTTGGCTTGTGTAGAAAGAAAAACACAGTAATAAAAGATATGAGGTTTGATAAGAAACAGCACTGGTTTTGTGTTATAGTATATTAATTATTTATAAGAAAATACCAATGAAGGATTTTTTTTTTTTATGTACACCTAAATTGAATTTTACTGACCCTAACCTTCAATGTAGCCTTCATTGAAGTTTTGTGTTTTGAACAACCAACATAACCCTTTACAACCCACTGTGCAATATCTCCATGTATAGGAAAGCTGAGCAAAAAAAAATCTTGACGACAAAATGCAACAACATACCACAGATAGATTTATTTTGCAGTCAAATTTACACAACTTGGGACATGAATGTTGGACACCAGAACACATGTTGCACAAGTAAACCACTGTCACAGGTAAAACATAATGTAGTTGAAGGTTTATAGATTATCTTTTGACAGTTAAGTTACTTATATCCTCATGAATGCTCATCATAACATACACATGCATACAGCTTTAACTCTCCCAAACGTTCACACAAACTCACATTCTGAAAACAGTGAGGCTACATGAACAGAAACATACAAAAACACGTTCACAAACAGTACAGGTTTTGTCAAGAGGTCTACCTGTGTGCCAAAAATATACAGAGAACTGTATATATAATCAAGGAAAGACATCATTTGTACACTATGGCAAATTGATAGCAGGCGACATTTAAGAGCAGCTGAGAAACATCTGTACATTCAAAAAGGCGTTGGCAATCAAACTCACACATATGCTTAACACTTGATAAAACTGGCTCAACACGCATAACCATCGGAGAAAGGCATTTAAACACAGGGGCATGCCACATCAAGGATAGTTAAATTCAAAAGGACTAGTTTGACATTTTGTGACATACCAAAAACAGTTTTCTTGCTCAGAGTTGGATAAGGACATAAATGTCAAAATTACTAGACGTGGGGACTTATATGATATATTTTTTAGCTAGCTAGAGGACAAGCTAGCTATTGTTTGGCTAACATCTACTGGCTGACTTTTATTCTTTAGATAAGTGGTAACACCTTGCTAGCTTAATTGTAGCTATAACCTATAGGCTAGCTGTATGTTTCATTATGTAGCTTTGTGGGTACAGCTAGCTATATGTTTGCAAATATTTAAAAACTAGCTGCTTTATCTTCTGTAACAGTAAGCTGTGAGGTTTAACTAGATGCTCATCATTTTCAAACTTGTATTAGTTTAATTGGTCTGTACAAAACTAAGTGTAACAAGGTGTACATACTTTTTAAAGTAGTACGCTACTGTATACTAATTAGCTTCATATGGGTTTACATTAGAGAGAGCCAGGCTAGCTGCTTCCCATTGCTTTGAATCTTGTGCTTTGCTGAATTAGCCAGCTGCTAGCTTAATATTTCTCCCAGTGTCATGTGGTCTCAGGCTTTTCATCCAACTTTGAGTAGGAAAGTGAATGGACATGTTTGCAAAAATGTTAGACTACTTCTATAGGAATACATGTCAAATGCTTTTCTTTGACACATTATATATATATATATTTAAAAAAAAAAAAAACTCAAATGTTTTGCTGAAATGCACATAACTCTGAGAGAGGATCATTTACAAGCCAAAATTGCCTCATTTAGTTTTAGCTTTAAAAAAAATGACCTCTGATGTCAGTTTGTTTGAGTTAAAATTCAAAGAGTCAACTCTGTTACCCTCAAAATGTGAGTTTGAATTTAATTCTGGGTTTGAAAGTGAATTAACCAAAATCCCTAACTGTCAATGTTGTGCATCAGGCTTAATTTAGATAATATTAATTTAAGGATGTTTTATGATTTATGTGTAAAATAATAAGAAAATATGAGGAGTGATAAGCATGTGGCATATATGTGTCTCAATGCCCCACCCTACCTCTATTTCCCCAAAAATACAAATCTCCAAAAGCAAACCAATGCCAGCCAAACTTCTTCTTTTTTTTTTTTTAAATGAAACTATCAAACAAAAATGCAACACATGACTGCCACCTTGTGGTAGACACATAAACAGCACAGACACAGTGAAGTGAGGAGTTTTTGACTCTTCTTTTCACACACAGTAACAGCTTTGAGACATGGTCGTTTCCATCTGAGCTGATTCAGACTCAGAGTGACGGCTGGTGATAGAACACGTAAGCAGCAGCACCGGAGTGGTTTTTATCACACCCTCGTACGCACTTTGTGTTTTATCTGTCGCAGTTGTTCCACCCCTGAACTCTTCCCAACTAAAAAATTAAATCATTACTCTACCTCTAGCTCTAGTTCCCTTGATAGGTGTCTTATCTCACAGTCACACACTGTTTTACCAAAAGAAGCCAAACAGATGCTACAAATAACACATCTCCTAGGCTTGCTTTTTCAGAGGTTTTATCTGTGTTTTATCTCTCATCATTTCCTCTGCAGCGTTGGATGCAATTTCCCGTTTGTGTGTATGTTTTTTTTTTCTTTTAATATTAGTAATGAGACACTGTGCCAAAATGTAGCTTAATCCAGTCATGGCAAAAAATAGACAATATCACTCAATGTGATGAAATCATACAACACATACAATAAATTACACATGAGAAAGCACAAGTACTGCACATTAAGTAAATACACATATCACTGTATTATGGAAAATAAATATACATCCATGTCTGTTCAACAATATCATCAATTCATTGTTTAAAGATACTACATTCATGTAATCTACACAGATAAGAAGTGAAAAGTATCTTGAGTGATTACTGTGGATGTATCCTCCTGTACATTTCATCCTATTATGACATTTGACCATCTGCACAGTTTTTGTTTGTCAGCTTGATTGTGCACAAAGTAAAAGACAAACACAAGGAATGGGCAACACTCTGCGATTGTCAAGAGCTGTCATATTAAAGCGTCTTGTTAAGACTGGAGCAACTTGTAATATTTCTGTTTTTGAAGCGGCCCTTGTGTTGGATGTCGGCGCCCAATTCTAATAGACTTTCAGTTATCTTGAATGAGTGATCGTTGCAACCAAGAGGATAAATAAAGCAGGAACTCTGCGGTTATTACTTTAGTCTTGTCAAAATCATCAGGATTAAAAATAAAAGAACACAGTAGAGCTCTTTTTAAGTGATATAAAAGGAGAAAATGCAGAATTTCATCAATAAATAACCAAAATATATATATATATTTTAATTTTTTTGAAGAGCAATACAAATGGAAACATTTTGCACTGAGACCAACAATAAATGATATGACTCTGTACATTATTTGCAGGAAAAATGACTCTGCCTAAACGTTTGCAATATCTGTTTATTCTACTGTAAATAAAAGTGATAGCTATTTGTGACTGACGAGGCACTTTGGAATATGAGAAATGTTGAAATAAAAGGTTTTACATGAAAAACAAACTAATATTGCAAGATGATTTGAGGCTCAGAGAAATTAGGATGTGGAGGGTTTGATTCTCATTGCCTACAATAAAATACTGTACATATAAACCCATGGCACTATGAGGAGCTCAGAATAAAAGCATCCGGTAAATGGCACATTTATGTTACATTTCACAGTCTGTAAGATCATCACAGGCGAGTCTGTGAGAGTCAGCTGTAAGAAGCTGCTGTAGCGTAACTGAAGGATGTACACCAGCATAGGGTGCCAGAATTATTTAGTTCAGTGTTGTTCAATTCTTTTAAATCCAACTTTAATAATCCCTCTGGTACTCTGCTCTTCTTTTTCAGCAGTAGTTCCTACAGTTACCCCTTTCTTGTGAACTTTTAAAAAGACTAAAGCGTCATCAACTGTGAGCACTTCAGATGGTTTACCTTGAATATCCTAAGAAGCCAGATAAATAAATATTTTAAATGAATGTCTCAAAATATAAGAACAATCTATGGAGCACAAAATGTTGTTCTTTATGTCTAAATTGTTGTGACTGAAATATCACCACCCCTCATTCATTTTGGCACTTTGATCTAAATCAGAAAATACTGTGTTTTTTTTATTTTTTAAATACAATACTGGTAAATATTTCAGGGCAGGATCTCATCCATCCTCTGTATTAATGATGAAGTCTACAGATTTGGGCTCCAGTTCCTTTCGTTTGAAAAGGTCATTACAATACTGCATTATGTCAAAGAAAACTCTGATCCAGACACAAAAAAAAACTATTTACAAAGTCCATGAGTTGTATTTTTTTTTCTTCGATATATCTTTTGACATACTCTGTACTTACGGCTGATTGTAGAAAAAGGTTTAAATTTCAAGATGAGACATTTAAACGATAAGCATTTGTACAAGCAAGGCGAACGTTTGGCTGTTCCTGACCTCTGACCTGTTCTAAGATCAGATCCAGTCAGGGAACCTGTTTGGCACTTTGAAGCACATTTACTGTACAAACCAACAGCCGAATTTGACCCTTACATTTATTGTTTGAACTTTCCTTTCCACAAATTGTATTTTATTTTGGCATCAACTCTGTTAATGTTATTTATGAGTAAAACGGCAAACTACAGCAGGGGCTAAATATATGATGTAAAAAAAAAAGTATCTGTAAGAATATTTTAATTTTAATATTTTTTTTATCAATGGATGGATTTTAATTCGTTTAAATCGTTTATTAATCATAAAAACGTAACATAATTTAAGTTAATTTTATATTTGATAGTTAGAGAATCAGGTATGTAGGTCATCTATGAACTTGTAATGAATCTCCAGTAATGCTTTCAGAAATACCTCAATTGATGGACTTCAAACTAAGAGTTGTGAGGGGTCACTTTGGTCTGCTCTGGTTGGTCTGGATGTACATTTAGTGGAAACGGCACCTTGAATCGATTCCCGCCAGTCAGATGTTCAGGTGGGGAGGCTGATGTTGGCGTTCTCCGCCAGCGGGCTCGACATGCGGATCTGGGAGCTGCTCTTGCTCAGGATCGACAGCTGAGTCCCGCCGTTCACTCCGCTGCTGGCCAGTGATGGGTGTCTTTGCTGCTTCAGGTCCACAGCAAAGTATCGGTTCACCGTCCAGCTGCGCCATTTCCTCTTGATCTCTGACTGCACCTTCAGGGAGAAACTTCACAAGGTCATTTTTAATGAACTTAAGGCTGCACTAGCTTCATCAAAAAGGCACAGTACGCTCAAGTTATATGGATTACTCTTTATCTGCCTATTTTATTTCTATGTGTACATATTTTAAACTCTGTTTCAAAACTACGCAAACCTGAAAATGTGACTTAAAGAAAAGAAGAACTAGTTAGTACATTTTTGTACTATTTTGAGGTGAAGAATACATGTTAAGCTCGGTGTCTTCATGAGTTTAACACAATAATTAGAAGTTTAAATCTGACTGTGAATGATACTGAGACAGAATCTTACCTCTCCGTTGAGGAAACAGTAGAGGACAGCTACAACAAAGCCCTGCAGGGGAAGGACAGACGTAAATAATAAGATAAATCAGCTTGAGATGGAAATGTCATTTTAAAAAGATTGGCATTCTTATTAGCGAAGGCTCAAGTAGTATCAAATTAGCCTGACTTTTTTCTTTTTTTGCAAATTGTGTTTACTGGAAGCAGTGTTTAATGACAAAAGCTCGGATGTTCTTCAAAATATTTTAGAAAAATATAGGGGGAAAAAAAGAGCAAGTCTGACTTAAAAACACTTTTTAGAATGAGGAGCATTGCTAAACCATAACTTAGAATTTGACTGGACATCTCTGCAAGTGACACAGATAACTAGTTTGAGTTATTTTCTGCTGCAATAAAACAACTATTTATTGCAGCAGCAGAGCATACTGTAGTTTGTGTTTAGCATCTAGGTTTCGACATCACCCCTCATCACAGTTTTATTTTACATGCCGAAATTTGAGGAGTGATGGGGGGTTATCTTAAAGCCCTCAGTCAGAGCCTACAGGTGGATGCTGGTGTGACTGATCAAGAGTGCAGTGCTGCTGCAGGTAAGAGCTGTCAATGAAAGAGCACATGGAGAGAACATACACCTTGGAGCTTACAATGACTGCCTATTGGAGGGAGGGGATGTCAGGTGACTGTGGATGATGACGCATGTCAAGTGTGAAATCAGAGTAGCTCCAGTTGACTGCCTGAACTAGCTTGCAAGTCGTTTACAGTTTAATTGACATTAATGAATCCTTTTTTCTGATCTGAGCTGGAAAAGACAGAATATGTTGACAGACAGGTACGTTCTTTACCCCCCTCTTTTCCGCAATGCTGACTAAGCTAGCCAGAATACAGGACAATATCATTCTGCTGCTTAACTGTTGTGTTAACTGTCAATGTTTTTTTTTAAACAAAAAGTTGAAGTCAGTTGTGGTGATACAATGTTTCCTCCTGCTATGAGAGAACATGTGTGTCATTTTTACAACGTTTACTCGGTTACTTCAAATAAAACGTCAAATACCAACTGCTTTCCTTGAACACCTAGTGGAATACATAGTTATGCTATATACACTGGACATATTGTAAATCCCAAAGCTTGATCCAAATGCAACTGGACTTAGTTGTAGACCTGCTGTTGCCTTTTGATCAAGCTTTGGGATTCACCATGACCTGGAAGACTGTGAACCTACACAGGCACTGACAGATCAGCCCTGTTTTGGACTGCTGGACTGTTTTGAAACTACCTCTGGCACTCTTATGTCCCTCTTACTGGTTCTTTACCATTTTGTTTTTGTTGCCACTTTACCTGTTTGTCTTTGTAGCTGTCACAGAAAATTGTGTTTCTTTAAACAGGTTTTTGATGTAATTACAGAGAAAATGTCTTATTTTGAAATGTTTTTCATATTCTATGCTCTGTTAGTGACACCTACTGGTCAAATTGTGTGTTGCGCTGAGTGGTCAGCATTTCACATGATAAGTTGAAGCAATGTGCTGCCAGGAGCTACAGCCAACAGTAGGACACAGATGAAGGAGACTCTGCTTGTGTCTGTATTTATTCCATTCTTAGTTTTTTAACTAAGAATGTAGTGTTTGCTGACAAAAAGAAAATAATAAATATTGGTCAAACATTAGTTGCAGCGCGGCTTATCTGTACCAGAAGAAGACACAAGCAGTTATAGTCTTGTCTCAGCATTCAACTTTGTGCTACTACCTCATGATTTTCAGTGTCTTATGTAGCATCATGGTCCTAGAGGAAAACAATTTCCTCTCACTGTGTACCTACATGTGAATGAAATACAGTACAAAATAAAACTTGACTTGAAGTGTGTAGCTCGTGGTTGCTTGTTATGGTGAAAGAAGACGATAGGCTCATATAAACTCAGTCTTGCACTCTCCTAGAACGTCTAATCTTGTTTATTAACATGATTTATTATCCCAATATGACCTCTCGGTCGTTATTTGGTATTTTTTAAAGATTTATTTTTGGGCTTTCTGTGCCTTTAATGGAGAGATAGGACAGTGGACAGAGTTGGAAATCATGGAGTGAGAGAGTGGGGAACGACATGCGGGAAGGGAGCCACAGGCTGGATTCGAGCCTGGGCCGCCCGCTTGGAGGACCACAGCCTCCATACATGGGGCGCGTGCACCAACCACTGCGCCACCAGCGCCCCATCTGGTACTTCTCTTTAATTAGAAGCGCACATTTGAGGGTCTTCAGGAGCTTTAGAAACATACCTGGAAGGATCCAAGTCCCAGTTCAAAGACCAGTCTCTCCCTCTTGCTGACGTCTTCAGGTGAGAAGGCGAACACAGTGTAGTGAATACCAAACAGGGGGATCAGCAGGAGGGTGGAGCGCGCCAGACGCCTATACACACACACACACACACACACAAAGTTAAATAGTGAACTGGAAGTCAAATGCAAATCAAAGTGATGTTTAAAGAGGGCTGGTCAGCTGGTGGATGTGATGCAAGAACAGAGCCACTGATGCAATGCTATGACACATTTTCTGAGTACTGTTGGAACACAGTCTTTCATAAACAGCTCTCAAATTTTATATCAGACATGAATGAGAAAGGAGTGTTTACATTTAAGGATATGGCTGGAGACAGTTTTTGTTATTTTTGTTATAAAAGAACAAAAACCAACAACATTACTAGCTCACTAGCAAGATATAGCACTGCTAAATCTTTTTATAAAAAGCTCAATTTTGATAAAAAAAAGTCTCTTCATCTCACTGCTTGACTTGTTCGTTACTGCAACAAAGCAAGGCACTGTGGATCATTTTGAGTCAATTCAACATTTCTCCTCTTGCAAATACTCACTGAGGATTTGTTAGCCTGTAGCTGAAAATCATTCCAAATGTATGAATTACTCCTGTGTGATATTGTATGTTAAAAACAACAGTGCCTGTCTTTTTAAGGACAGAACAGAACCATAGTCAAAATGTGAACTATTAATTTGTTACAAATTTTAAACTTTTAACTTTCAGTTACAATATATGTAAATGTAGGAAAGTCAGAAAGTCATTAGTTTTGGTCTTTTATAGGATGAATTGACAATACAAAAATTAGGGGTGGGAAAGATCAGTCACTCCCTGCTAAGTGCTAAGGCTGGTTCTTTAACTCACTAGAATGCTAAATAGAGCAACAATCAATTCAGCCAGTCTCACAGATGACTGGAGTAGATCCTGAAGTATGCACTAATTCATAAATCGACTTTGAATCCATAGATCAATGAATCCAGAATCGTTTTGAGACACCCAAAGATTCCCAGCCCTACAAAAAATGTAGTGTCACAACAGCCTTATCCGACTAAACTGAAATAAGATTTAGTAAAACAATCCCTGTCAACGATTGAGACAGGGACAAGACAAGGCACACAACAGTTGACATGTGTCATACACAGTTTTATTCATTTAAGCAGCCTAAACTTAGTTTCTGATTTACAAGTAAGAAATGGAAACACGACAAATGAAATGTAAAAAAAGGAACACAAGCATGCAACACAGTGGTTTTTAATAGTACAGTCCAGTGGCCTGCAGAGATCCTCATAGACAAATCATAAAACAATGAGCAGAGAATTCAGTGTGTATGCTTAGTTGCATTTATGTCCTCTTGTATGTCTAGCGTTGCTGTATGAGGGTTAAGACTTCGTTTAAATATTCATTTTAATTTAAGGAGGCATGTAGCCTGTGAGGGTTTGTTATGTTGGATGAATTATGTCCATGAGGGTCCTCACAAGAAGGAAACTATATGCGTGTGTGAGAGTGAAAGTATGCATGTGGGAGTCCAGGCCTTTGAAAATTAAGAACCACTGGCGCAAAACACACACACATCAACACACACACATACAGTGTACACAAGACAAATAGACAAACACATGTGGACGGACAAACACACACAGACACACACACTTACAGTGTGATGGTGGATAACTCTGACATCCTGCACGAATGCTGAACAGCCTGTGTGGGCTCACTGAAGCATTTCTGAGCACAGCTGCTACACAGCACAAAGACAACACAACAATACAACAAAGACAATGTCTTTAGGGACACAGACACACAGTCTCACACTACGCACACACACACACATTCACACTTGGTCACGCACACACAGGTCTAAGCAACAGATGAGAATGACATTATCTGCAGGGCCTCAAAAGACGCCTTCCTGTGGGAGCTGAACAGGAGTGATGTCTGGCTACAGCTCCATAATGAGGAGGCTCAAGCTTCCCGCCAACAGGTAGCACCAATTTAAACATTTATTCTGATAAGTGTCTAAAAAGACACATCGGAGGTTTAATGATATAAACGTGAAATAGGACAATTAAGTCAACAACGCAATTCAATTACAAATGCATGGCACCTCAATGTGAGTTCTTCTTCTAGATCTAAAGTTTGAGATCGTTTTTTTAAGGGACATTGCCAACCGATCCACAGACCAAAAAACAGATGTGTTAATGTAGGCCAGAGTTTACCTGGAAGGATTTTTTTTTTCTTGGGTCTAGGACGCCATGTAGCAGCTGATTAGAGGACAAAGCTGGTGTTATTCTATATCCTTCTGATCATCATCAAAGCCCATGAAGACCATGAAAAGGTCAGATATATACCTTTCATAAAGGTCTTAGTAGGTCCCTTTAAACAGCTGGGTGCTTTGGTTTTAATAAGCGTAACTCAAACTGGAGGAAATGAGGAAATGATCTACTGCAAATGTGTTTTTCAATTGTTTATAGCATCAGTATGTGAGATTAACCTAAAACATAGTCTCCATGTTTTTCATAAAGGAGAATAGTATCACCTGGTTCAACCATGGAGATAATTTACGTGTTGTTTTCATTCTGTTTTTTATACAAAGGATTCGTATGGACTTCTTATGGTCTACTCAGGAGGTACTTGTGATTGGGATGAATTCATTAGGAAACTTGTAATTCAAGTAGTTGAGATAGGGTGGGATTTCTTGACTTTAAGAAAAACTTGAAGCAACAGTGGCAGGGTTGTTCCTGTGCCCTAAACTTCACGTCCTAAAATCATGTTAAAAACTTTCTGAATTGGTATTTATAACATACAGAAGAAAATATGTTTCTCTTTTCAGAAGATGTGCATTATAATTGTTTGTGAATTTGCTGGTTTTAGCTTACAGGTAAATGCTGGATTCATTCCCTCCGATATCAGGCGATTGCAGCTTCTGCACCAGGATGATTATTATTCCAATGAAGAGGACAAAATTGATCTGAGGAAATTGACACATAGATCAAATAAGTAGTGAGTAGTTTGGAGAAAAGCGAAATCCAGTTTATGAGAAATGACTGGGAAACAGATAGAAAAAGAGAAAGTGAAGGAATAACGTTTTCATACCATAATGGAGGCAACGACTGGTCCTTTGATCACCCACCAGAGGGCAGTGTTCTCATTTGTATCCCAGCACCTGGAGAAATAGGAGGAGGAGGAGGAGAGGAACAGTGGGTTTCAATAATCATTCAACTTGCTCTGCTTTATTTCATCTCAGCACTCTGTTATACATAGCACCATGCTCTTTGACCATCAAGTATCTTTTTTGCAAAGTAAGGGGGCTTGATAAGTGGGTTGAACAGGAATGGAGAATTTAAAAAGGGAACAGTCTAAACAAAAGAAGAAAAGGTTACATTGACTAGTGTTAGAAAAAGCTTGTATGCTAGCCCTCACATTTAAACATAAAGTGTTCTTTATAAATTCTATGTATGGAGGCAAGAATCTCAGCAAAACTCATCAAGAGCTTTGACCCTCTCTAAGGGGTTTCTATGCCTTAACATTGGTATTTAATTAAAGCTGCATTTCTCCCACTTAATGAATTTCAATCTAAAGTTGAGAAAGGTGTTGTACCCAGTGTCATGAAAGTGGAGCCTCAGAACTGCCCAGACAGTGACGCAGATGGTTGGAGTTCCTGTAATAAAATAGTAACAATCAATACCTTAATCTACTGCAGATGATGTTTTAATACTCAGTCATAGATGTGGGTATTTTCAGTACATATTTCAAATGCAAACTCTAAGCAAAAATACCTTCTATTTCTGTGGTTGCAAGTCTATTATTACAGAGTCTATCTATATACATGCCAGATTTGAAATAACATAACCCCATACTCACCCCATCCAACAATGGTGTACCAGTAGAAGTAGCGTCTCTCAGGAAAGAAAGTCTCCACCAGTAGAGTGAAGAGATACAGACCCTCGATGAACAGCCAGAAATAGTTGGACATAACGCAGTAATGGAAGAAAACCATCATGGCTTTACATGCAACCTGCACAGCGAGGAAACACAGAGGGGGTGGGGGTGGGGTGGACATTATTAGAGCAAGGACAGGGGGACATTGATTTTATGAGTAATTTCACACCGGGATTGTTGATGTTGGAAACTGGGATTGCTAACATTTTACATAACCCTAAACAGATTAAAAGGTATATTTTAATACACTCTTTTTTGCCTTTTTTGAAATCCAAAATAAAGCATTTTGTTCCAGCTGCAGAATGTAAAAACTAGGGATGTGCGTGATTAGATGGCTAAATGATTAAAGTCAGCTCAAGAATTACTGGCTGCTTAAACTAATTATGAGTCTTTTCATTAATGTAGGCCCACAATGCTTGATAAATGTTATGCCTAAGCTATAACTGACCACCTGTCTCTAGCTGCGGCTGTATATACAGTTAATGGGCTCTCACTGCTCTACTGCCTGGATGTAAACAGCACAGTGGAGTCACGTGTAACTACATTTAGCACAGGCATATGGACATTAAACTGCAAGGACTCCTTGCCTTGCCAACGAGGACAAAATGCTGCTGGTGCTAGCACTGCTAATGTTAGCCACATGCAGCAATCACATTTGAAACAAAGTGCCACCTGTTTCAGCATTTTTGAAAATAGCTGTCAGTTACGCTACTGAAGAATGTGATGAACTACATGATAAATTGGACGTGTTAAATAGGTTGTGCCCAATTAAAACTGTTATTTAGTGTTTCCTTATCTTTAGACTAGTTGACTAGTATAATTTTAAATATCTGTTTAATCGACATCGGGATTTGTCGCTAGGAACGTCCTGAGTAAAGATCTGTATTTAATTGTTAGTCTTTCTTTTCTGAGCTTTAGACGATATATGTCAGATTAACATACATCTTCATGTCTGTAAATCAAAGTGTAGTGCACAAAGCGCAAAAGGATGAATTACCCCATAATGCAGCATTTAGCAGCTACTGTATGAGTGGTTCAACATGAGTTCACAGTTGCAAAGACGCACATATGCATGTCAGGGGAAGTGTAATCAAATGACATGTTAATTAAAGAGTCCATATTTGAAATGGGGTCAGCCAATTACAGCATGGATCTGATTCCCAGTACCACAATGCCACGATGCTGACCTGTGATCGCCATAGCAACAACAGTAAAGCAGCGGTTTTGACAAAAAGGCCAAAGAACCCTTTGATATGTTAATAGCCTCTAGTAGAAGATTTCCACCGGCCTTGCTGAAGCCATTAGCGTACCTAATTAGGTTTATTTATCATGGCTGCTTAACAAGAGTGAGCAATGTGTAGTTAGCAGACAAAGGCTAAAAGCTTGTTCTGCATCTGTAATCAAGGAGTATTAGTCATCTAATACAGTGTTTGCTTTATGTTCAAATTTGCATTTGATTGTAGTTCTTTCAAAGGTGCAAATCAAACAGGAAAGACTTGAGGAGAAGTGTTTGAAGCCCTCTGTCTACAAAGCTCTCCTTATATCTCAAACAGAAGAACAACACATGCTTCCCTTTATAGAACGAGAGGTTGCACCTTCACGATTCCCTTTTATAAACCTCCCTGGAACAGATTAACTAATAACACTGAAAACATCTTGCAACTGCCAATGCAAACTTTTTCAAAACCTGACAGCAATTATTTTGTCAGAAAAAGGATCATTTACAACAATAATGTATCATTTTTCCATTATCTGCTTCAAATCCAAACTAATGAAATATTTAACCTTGTGAACTGAATGTAGCCCGTTGATTTTTTTAATCAAACACACATGTAAAAAACACTCATTGTTGTTTTCTTTTCTGATTATGAAAACCTTCAAAAGCAGTAATTTATCAGTAACAGATTATTTAGTTATCAGGACCTATAATAAAGTAGTAGTAGTTACTGACTGTGTGTACGAAGCAGTGGTCGCTGTCCTCCTGAGCATACAGCACGCCGTCCTTGATGAAGACGGAGATGGCTCTCAGGATGAAGGACACAAACAGGTTCATGTGAATGAAGTTCCTGGTGCAGTGGAGCTTCCTGCCGTGAGAAGAGAGGCAAAATCTAAAAACACATCTTGTCTTTTTTTCTATCATGTGATCATCAAGTTCATTGAAATAACTGGATTTTGGTAAATGGTAAACGGACTTGAGCTTTTGAGCCGATTGAGAGACGACCAACTCTACCAGCTGAGCCACAGCCATTAAATTTAACAATTTAATGAAACGTTTTGGATTATTTTGTCCAAACAACAATTTACAATCACTTTCATAAATGCTTCAAAAATTAGAAGTTAGAATTAGAACTTTTTATTTTCCTTTCGGGTTGGGGGTAGAATTACAGTTTAAATGCAATAATGTGACGATAGAAAACAATGTACTGGCCAGTGGTTCCAAACCTCTTTTGACTCGTGTCTAAACTCTGGCTACCCCAGACATTCAAAACACAACTTTTTACTGAAATCATTTGTTTTTCAATCATGTAATAGTTTAGCAAAGTAAACATTCATGTTGGACCACATTTAGGCTTTTTCATGTACATTAATGTGGACAGACGGCTGGGATGACAGAGAGAGGCCCACAGTAGCCTGTGTTCAATATATTTGAATGTACTATATCTTTTATCAATCAATAAATAAAGATTCCAGGCGACCGTATTTGAAGCAACCCCACATGGGGTCAGGACCCAAAGGTTAGGAAAGCATGAGGTAGGCCGTCAGGTAAGTTGGCTTATTGTCATTTCGTAGATCAAGCCCACACAAATATATTAGCGCAGAAACCTCGGAGACTGTAACCTTTAAAAAAAATGTTTTCTTACCATTCACATTAAGTTTTTTTTTATTTTGGTATCCTATTGGTTATTGACAACCAGAAAACAAGCATTTATGGAAACTTGTTTATCTTGTATGCAAATTTTGAAAAACCTGCCTCACCTGAATCTGCAGAGAATGACCATGGCTGTGGTCAAAGACACCAGCGATGTGCTGTAGCCCACGGTGTACAGAGCCTTGACTGAGGCATAGTATGTGTCCTAATGATAAGAGACAGAGGGTTAGTCTTGTGAGTGTCAGTTTAAATGGTAAGAGGAAATGTGTATGAGTTGAAAAAGGTCGTACAGGTTTTGTGTTGTTGTCATAGAAGAAGCAGACGACCTCATACTGAGGGAAAGGTTCTGACCAGCCGTACTCGGTGCAGTTACGACTGACCTTCCCCATCTCTGAGAGACAAATTATATTCCAGATATGACTTGGGTAATATTGAATGAATGCATGAATACAAATGAGATCAAATACAGCGAGAGACACATCTGATCTTCTCACCCTCGTCAGGATCCATGTAGTCATGAAAGAGCTCAGGACAGTTGACCACCACGACCTCTCCGATGCTGGCCGCCTGCCAGCAGGTCAGGTTGTCCCACATCCACGGACACTCTGAGAGGGACGAAAAGAAGAAGAGCAACCAGTCAGTGTAAGTCCTCATCAGAATTTTTACTGATACAGGTATGATTTACAGAAACAGAAACTTATTGAATTGAGTTGAACTGAACTGAATGAAATCCTAAATAAGGTAAATGAATTGGAGGCATTAAGGGGTTAATTCACTGAGATATCTCACATTCTCATGACATCCCATGGTTAAAATGATTGCTCAGACGGAGGTATCGTCTTACTTTTCTTCATTTCATCAGATCATTTAGCACGTTATTTAGCAAGGTTGTTTTAAGTCTTACGTTTTTTTCCTTGATTTTTTTCATCTGAATGAATTGACTTTTTTAACCATTTTTTGCCACCCATTTCCAGAAAGATAATAAATGATACATTCAATACCCACAGAGCAACATTAACCTCCATGAGGAGTGGAGTGTCCTAGTAGCTTGGTCATCTAACTTCTCTATTAAAGGAGTCTTTTTTTTTTTTTAAGATTTATTTTTGGGCTTTTTGTGCCTTTAATGCAGAGATAGGACAGTGGATAAAGCTGGAAACCAGGGAGAGAGAGTGGGGAATGGCATGCGGAAAGAGGCCATGGGTGGAGGTGAACCCGGGCCTCCTGCTCGAGATGAGAGCCTCAATGCATGGGACACGCGCCCTAACCATTGCGCCACCAGTGCGCCCAAAAAGGAGTCTATTTTTGGCTCTACAAATGTTCCACCATCATAACCACCTCCAAACTTTGTCTATCTGCTGTTTGAGCGAGAAGTGTGCAGTGGGTTTTCATGTCTTCTTTAGCTGAGAGCAAAACCATTACAGAGGCGAGAGTGACCAAAGCAGATATGAAGCACCTGAGAGCTAAAGAATGAGCTGAAACTCAACATATATGTCTGTTTTATATACTGTTATTCAATTTAGATTCATCCCTATGAGCTTCGAGAATGTCATTGTTGTAATTTAAAACAATATATTGCTGAATAACTCAAAAGTCAAATCTTCATGGGCCAAATGGCAATTGTCACAAAGGCCCTTTTATTAACAGGCAGCTGCATGGTGTCAACATGTACATGAAAAGCTATCCGTTTTTAAGTTTTGCTCAGAGAGGGAGAGAGGCCGAGCAGGGTGAAGAGGGACAGACAGTGAGAGGAGAAACAGGCAAACTGGCAGCTCTATGGATGAAAGGTAACATATCAACCATATGGTCTTACCTGTTATCTCATTTGAAGAACTATGAACTTGATATCTTGCCCAGCCCTAATATAGGCCCTATACCCTCCACCCTGTAACTGACCAGTCAAAGTCATTCAATCATTTCGGCCTCACCTTGAAATTATTTTACCAACTGACTGACTGACTGACTGCAGAACAACTTTAGCTGCCCTCCTCCACACTTTAACATCACCCCAAACTTCCTCAGATGACACAAACCTGTCAAACAGAAACTTATCTATTCCAACATTACAGATAGACCCCTTTAAACAGACTGAAAAGAAACATACATATAGAAAGATCACGGTTTGTAACATTCTAACCTCTTACTGTTTTTAAGGAACATTAAGCTTGTATTTGAATACAGGGCTGCTGCATTGGATTCCTACATATGTAAGCTAGTGTTTCACCTGACAGTTAATTTCATCTTTGATTTGTCAATTACTTCTGTTATTACCCCCCCCCATTTACTATCACAAACTGGTTGAAGCTAAAACTAACCCAATCCCATCTTCCATTTTATTTGGATTTGATCTCCTTCTTTACATCTGCCTCAATCATTACCTGACTCATTCTCACATTTATTCTCATCTCCTGTATTCTTCAGTACTGCTCTGATTTCCCCTTTTTATGCCTTCTTTCTGCTTCCATGTACTTCATCTTCAGCACCTCCCCTCCCTCTGTCTCTATCGCTCCCAGTTTACTACATTGTTTATGCTCAGATGGTTTTTATAGTGCTGCAGCAGCAGGTACTTTTGAGTGTGTGTGTGTGTGTGTATGTGTGTGTGTGTGTGTGTGTGTGTGTGTGTGTGTGTGTGTGTGTGTGTGTGTGTGTGTGTGTGTGTGTGTGTTCCCTCGCATGCTTTTCATGTGGACTGGTGAGTGTGAGTAGGCATCTGTGTGTGCATGTGTTCTCGGACATATATGTCTGTTTGCAGACCTTTCTGCATTCTGCCCATCTCTCTAATCTGTTTTGGGTCTGTCTGGTGAGCCGGACACAAAGCCAATTACCTTTTAAAGGGCAAATCAGAGCCAAATGAGCCACACTGAGATGCAGAGGTAACCGGTTTAATAAAGGACTCTGCCTGCACTGAAGGATATCTCACACAAGATCCACAAGCTGTATAGTAATACTGAACACAGATTGTCCACCTATATAACCAACCACCCAAAGAGCATTCATTCATCATTCTCCATTAAACTTTAAACACTGGTCTGGAAGTAAAAACATGTCATGCAGCTCACAGAAAGATTTGCATCTGGGGAAGAGCCATCGCTTTTGTAAGAACGTTACATTTGGCTTGGAGAGAGAAACAATAATAATAATAATAATAACTTTATTTATATAGCACCTTTTAAAAACACAGGTTTACAAAGTGCTTTGACAAACAGAAAAAACAAGAACAAAGCAAACTAAAGCAAACACAGAAGAACATAAACAACAGTAAGAATATAACAGATGCAAAATACCAAAAATAATTAAATACAATTCAACAGAAAAGAACCCAAAGTGCACGATACACAACCAGACATATATAACCCAACCATCATAAGAACCATCACAAGAACCCAGGAACACAAGAACCCAACAACACGAGCTGAGACCAAGAGGACCAAAGATTTAAAAAGATGTAAGAAACTAAGAGATAAAAGCAAATAAAAAGCAATGAGAAGGTAAGCGTAGTAAAAGAAATAAAAACAAGTGGTTAAAGGATCAAAAAACCCAAAACTATAATATTAATAAAAATAAAAATTAACTATAAATACGAAACATAAATACACAAAGTAAGTAAGATAAGAAATTAAAGTTAAAACACAAGAGGAGATTAAGATATGAGCATAAATACGAGATAAGACCATAAATAAAAGACAGTAAGAAGTAGAAGAAGATAAAAATAGTAAAACCAGTAAGAGAAGACATTACGAAGACGACATCACATAAAAGCAAGTCTGTAAAAGTATGTTTTAAGAAGGGATTTAAAAGAATTGAGGGAATCTGCAAGTCTTATCTCCTCGGGGAGGTCGTTCCAAAGTCGAGGGGCCCTGACTGAAAAGGCCCGGTCACCTTTAGTTTTAAGTCTTGACTTTGGAACGACCAGGAGGCTCCCACCTGAGGATCTAAGACTGCGGGCTGGCTCATATGGTGTCAGTAACTCTGTTATATAGCTTGGAGCCAGCCCCGTCCGTGCTTTAAAAGTAATGAGTAAAATCTTAAAATCGATTCTAAAACGTACAGGAAGCCAGTGTAATGAAGCTAAAATTGGAGTGATGTGATGTTGTCTGTTACAACCAGTAAGAAGCCTAGCTGCTGCATTTTGGACCAGCTGGAGGCGAGACAGTGACTTATTTGTGATTCCGGAAAAGAGGGAGTTACAGTAGTCAAGTCGGGAGAAGATGAGGGCGTGGATGATCTTTTCAAGGTCTCGTTGGGTTAGGATTGTTTTAATTTTGGAGATGGTGCGTAGATGGAAGAAGCTTGATCGGACAACTGTTTTGATATGGGATTCAAAGGTGAGATTGCAATCGAATGTTATTCCTAGATTTCTGGCAGCATATAAATGGAGAATAAAATGGGACCTAAAACCGAACCTTGCGGTACACCACAGGTAATGTTAGAGGTAGAGGAGGAGTAGTTACCGATGGTGACCGCGAAGGTTCTTTCTAAAAGATAAGAGTAAAACCAGCTAAGTGCAGTATCCTTTAAACCAACCCAATGTCTGAGACGATCAGTTAAAATTGTGTGATCAACAGTATCAAAAGCTGCGCTAAGATCTAAAAGAATTAAAATTGTGCCCTCCCCTCTATCTGTTGCTAAAAGAAGGTCATTGGTTACCTTGAGGAGGGCAGTCTCTGTGCTGTGACAAGCTCTAAAACCGGATTGGAATTTCTCAAAGAGGTTATTTTCAGTCATAAAAGATAAAAGTTGTGTTGAAACCACCTTTTCTAAAACTTTTGATAAAAATGGAAGTTTTGAGATTGGTCTAAAATTGTTAAAATCAGTGGGATCAAGGTTGGGTTTCTTTAAAAGTGGTTGGACCACAGCATGTTTAAAAGCAGAGGGGACTACACCTTCCGTCAAGGAACTATTAATAATGGATAAAATACTGGGTCCAACTGTGTTAAAAACCTCTTTGAGAAATGTTGTGGGAATAAAATCAAGGCTGCACGTAGCTGATTTCATATGGGTTAAAATTTCAGATAAAAAGGTCAAGGACACCGGCTCAAAACTGCTAAAATAACTGTTAAATTCCCTGCTGGTGTCTAAAATACGGTCTGGGGGGATGATTTGTTGCCTAATGTCCTTGACTTTATTAGTAAAATAAGTTAAAAACTTCTCACATAGATCCTGAGAAGGATCAGTAAAATAAGAAGGGGAGGGGGTGGTGATTGATTCTAAAACCTTAAATAAAATTCTGGGGTTAGAATGATTGACTAAAATCAGATTAGAATAAAATGCTGCTCTTGCGTCTTTAACTTCCTTTTGGTATTGTTTCATTGAATCTCTCCATATTTCATAAAATACATGCAAGCCTGTTTTTTTCCATTTTCGTTCTTTCCTTCTGCAGTCTCTTTTTAGATCCTGAGTCAGTTTGTTTAGCCATGGCTGTGGGACTCTGTTAGTTTTTTTGTCTTTATAGGGAGCAACAGAGTCCAGCACAGTTTGACAGGTGAGATTAAAAGAGGAGACCAGCTCCTCTGTGTTAAAATGTTGGTAAAAGGCAGATGAAGAGACAGAAATAAAAAGCTCCTTAAACTTGCTAGCAGACGTAGAGTTAAAAACCCTGCTGCGGACAGGTGCCTTGCTAATAAAGGGTGGCTGAGATAGAACCATTCTGAATAAAATCACCTAAAACAAGGATTTTATCATACTTAGAAATAAAATGTGATAGAAACTCTGAAAACTCTGCAATAAAAACATTGTTAGGTCTGGGTGGTCTGTAGATGATTAAAATTAGCACAGGATCTTTTAAGTTAACAATAAAACCAAGATGCTCAAATGATGTAAAATGAGTGTGAATAATTGGAGAGCATTTAAAATCTTTTCTATAAATAACAGCAACCCCCCCTTCCTGGCCTGACATCCTGGGCTGATGAAGGTGAGTGAAATCAGGGGGGGTTGCTTCAATCAGAGGACTGCAATCTCCCATGGTCAACCAGGTCTCAGTGACAATAAAAAAGTCAAGATTATTATGATTTATAAAATCAAGGCAGATAAAAGATTTATTATTAAGGGATCTGATATTTAAAAGACCAAAGTTAGCTGAAGTGCAATTAAAGGTTGGTTGTGGAAGAGGTTGGAGGCGTACTTGGGTGAGATTGGAGTGGTTACAGTAATTGATAGGTGACAGATGTTGATGAGACAGTCTACAGGTGACGTGTACAGGGATAGTGAATTCAGTGCTGTGGTCTGTGACAGTAGAGAGTGTATGACAGTTATTGGAGGACAGAGAAGAAGGAGAAAAAGAGTGACACCAGGTGTGAGGAGTAGGGGAGGGGCTTGCTGTGAGTAGATTGTTCTGAGGTGAAACAGGTGAGAGGGGATTGGAAGTGGGTGTGTGCTCAGATGGATGTCATACAGGTGTTAAGGACTGGACAGCGTGCTGGATATTAGCGGACAACATTTGACTGCCCAACGGATTTGGATGAATCCCGTCGCTTTTAAAAAGTGTAGCACGGTTCCAGAACAGGTTAAAATTGTCAATAAAATCTAGGTTGTGTGATTTGCAAGCGTGCCGGAGCCAGGTGTGCAGGGAGAGGATACGGCTAAAACGCTCAGGACCACGATCAAAGGTTGGAATGGGTCCAGAGATAAAAACTGATTTTCCACAGTTCTTTAAAACGTTAAAAAGGAGATTAAAATCATTTTTGGTGCACTCAGATTGCCGCCGGGAAGAGTCGTTTGTGCCCACGTGTACAACGACTCTCTTAATTGAGAGTGGGAGTGAAGGCAGAAGACTGAGGAGTTTGTCTAGGACTACGGGGACAGTGGCGCCGGGAAGACAGTGTGTGGTGGCATTAAAGAAGCGGACATTTCTGGTGATTGAATCTCCAATGATAAGAGTTGTCGGGGGGAAAAAGAGGGCAAGGAGGTGATGAGTGTGTGCTACCTGGATCGGCCTGCGGGCGCTCGGCCGTTACCACCTGCGGTAAAGCGGGCGGGTCATGTTGAGGCGACTGCAGTGAAGCGGACCGCCGCCGCGGCTCAGCCAGAGGAAGACCCCCAGAGCGTCTGGTGACGGCCTCCTGCAGCATTTTCCGGCGATTCTTCCCAGTGGCCGAGTGGCGGGCCTCCCGACCAGAAGAACGCGCTGCAGGTGGAGGTGAGGTGGCAAGTCCATGTGGAGCCCTGGCGGAGTGGCGAGTAGTTCCGTTTGGTGCAGGAGTATGCGCAGCGGCAGCAGAAGCCACCGCCAGTCCCAGGCCGACCGGAGCCCCGTCCTTCAGCAGCGTGAAGCGGTTGTGGAGGGTCATCCGGGGTTGCAGAGGGGCCAGATGGTCCGTCTTCCGCCTGCGGCGTACCACGTCGGTCCAGGGTAGCTCGGGCGGCTTCGAAGTGGAGCTGTGTACTGGGGCCAGCAGCCTCTTTCCTGGTGCGCCCTCGGAGTTACCTGACGGGGCCGGTGTTGTTGCCGAGGCAGACACCAGCTTTGATGCCGGCGAGGGTGGTGCGGATGGCGATCGGACCGCCAGGCTCGAGGACTGCATATAGGATATGTGTTTTGACTGTGCAGCAGTCAATCAGATGGTCTTTGTTCCGAAGTTCGGACTTAAGTCGTTGGATATCGTCCTTTAACTGTGAGTACTGATGTTCGCAGTTCGTACACACAGACATGGCTAGCTCCAGATGTTTACAAACAGTTTTAAGATAGCAGCAGTCTTCCAGTGGCAGGCTTCAGTGATTACTACACTTTAAAAGTAATATCCAAACACCCAAAGGCCAAGAACAAGATACAAGTTATTTTCTCTCTCTCTCTGCTGATTATTTTCTTTATTATATAAGTTATTTATATTCTGTGTAACTTTAAAGATATAAGAATCATTTTAATATATAAGAATCATTTTAATATGTATAACATACCTAGGAGACCTGTTTTGTAGAGTTAACCTCACAATTAGGGGTAAAACCATAGACAAATTAAAAGCAGGGTTGGTAATTTTATCCTGATACACTTTTTAAGATTTTGGTTGAAATTGTCTTTAGGTCCTGTCAGACATTAATAACTCATGTGCTCTGAAAAAGGAACCAAGAAAAACTGTCATCTGTAGCAGTTGTTAGCCTGTAAAAATTTCGACCAATGTCTGCCAAGCGGTACCAATCTGATGAACCAATCACACCTCTCTGTGTCCTTGCTCATTCTCTACCCCATGCATGCACGAGCCCACACTCAAAGCATCTGCTTCTGGACCAATGGCGCTTGTGCATGTAAGTGACTTGGCTTTTGAGGGAGCACAGAGGGGAGGGCGTGGGTGTAGACAGCGCACTGAGGGAATGCTACTTTCAAAATCATGCCAGTTTAAAAAAAAATACCAACCCTGCCTGTTGAAATAATGATCACTGGAATGATCATTTAATGTTAACATTGTGCCATGGCTAAATCCAGCTAAATGTGCTTTCAGAATAAGATCTAGATCAATCACATGTAGACCATTTGGCCTGATAAAATACACCACAACCTACAGTATAGAGTTGATTTCTCTTGTTTATTATTTCCCTGTTCTCATTTTTGTTTTTGCCTTCTTTTTTAAACATTTCACATGCCCCGAGCAAGATTTCTGCAAACCAGGCGTTTTTATTTCCTTCTCACCAACGATGTACAGTCAGCAGAAAGACAAAACGTTTCCTTATAAAGGCACAGCAGGAAGCAGGGATCAGTTAAGGGGCAAAGAGGGGCAGCATGTGTAACTATACTGCTGAAAATGTACAACTAAATACTAAAACAGACTTTCTATGTCACAGAAGAAGAAGGGATAACATAGAAAAGGAGAGTGTTTAAATGCAAGAGAAAGGTATAATCAAAACAGATTTTAAACTACATCTTTGTTCACACCTTCCTCAGGGCATAACATGTTTTATAAAGAGATTAGGACAGAATGAAACCTTTGGGAGCTCATTTACCGCTAGTTTTCTGTGTCAAAAACTTCAGGCACAACCTGTGACATCTTCAGATGAAAAGTGAGCTGAACTTCCAGATCCTCTGCTCTTTTAAACGTGTTATCGTGCTCTCTAAATCGTTATGCTTCATGATTTTTCCAAGGAACTACTGGCTTTCAGAGAAGCTGTGAGTTGGAGTCACAGTGCAGTCTGGGAGATGCAATCTGTTGGGCAACTTTAGAGCAGCAGGAGACCTGCAGCAGTCGCTAATGAAAACCACCGTCCATGGCCAAGAAAATAATTGCTTCCAGGAATCACATACCAAGCTTCCTGTGCTTTTTGTTTAAAAAAAAAAAAAAAAAAAAAAAAGGATGAAGAGAAAAATGTGAAGCAGCACAGCGGGACGTTACAGACAGACAGCTGTATATCACAGGATGGGTGTCGGGGTTTGCGATGTGTAGTGAGTGGCTGTCTGAGGGGATGTACTTGTTCTATCAACAAGATAGAAAACAGCAGTCATCTGTCATCCTCACACGTCCCTCTTTGACCTTTCCACTGTATAAACTGAAAAATACCACATCATTGTGTATACAAACAACGCTGCTTTTTATCCCTTCCTGGAAAGTAGGATTTTAAGGAGATGCATGACTTTCATCAGCAGTTTACTGAGCAAGAAGTAAACAATTCAGCCACAGCAGACAAATAAAAACTGGTGGCTTTATGCCAAATTATGCACACAGAAGGACAAGGAACAAAGACGCACGCACACCCCCAGACTCTGCGTCCCTTACCCAATTCAAGTTCATCGCTGGGATTGTGCAGCATGATCCTCTCCATGCATTTCTCATGTTCATGCTTGATGAGACAGTGCTCGGACTCTGGAGCCACCTGGAGAAAATAGCACAAACAAACATGTTCAACCAAAAATATGGACTTTACTGACACACTGCCCCATGAAATCAAGTGTTTAAGAGCTTGGAAACCTGATACACTTTCAGCTTTTGTCAAAGAGAACTGGCAGAACCACAGTTACATCTGCCAGAGTTGCAAGGATACTAAATATGTTGAGTTTAAAAGTTTCTCTATATGTCTTTTTGTTTAGACTCATTTTACTGATTTGAAGTGGGAAAGGCTTTCACCGGAAAATAATATCAGGCATTCACAAGGACAAATGAGAACCCCAATAAATGGGATTTCAAGGTTGACAACTTTTATATTTAACAAGTTATGAACTTTCAAAACTCATCAAATTCATTTCCAGCAGGAAAAATGTAACATGTAAAAACATGTAAAGTTAATATGTGCATTAATACCAACTTTCATTTACAATTAATCCATTTACTAAATGTGGAGACAGTAAGTTGTCTAGTTGGATTGATGGGTCAAACAAGCAGAAGAGTTTCAGCCTGGTGACTAGTGTTTCTGTGTAGCCGAACCAAATGTCAACATTTACTTATTTTACAGAGTATTGTACATGTTTAGTACAGAGTCTAAATTGCAGCCCTAGACCTGACTCTAAACCTTGGCCATATACTGCCTGTCATCCTACATTCTCAAATCCCTGTTGTAAGCTCTATCCACTCTCTTGTCCTCCAAATAAACACCCAAAAAGTCCAACAAATTATCTTTAAAAAAAAAGTATATTGGTATACTTTGGTATACTAGTCCTGGAGTTAAGGCTCCAAACTCTGTTTTTGCAGAGTATTACTATTTTGACACCAACTTTTGAGCGACCAAATCCAATCCCTTCGTAATTCTATTCTTTCAATCCATCAAGTTGTCTTCTGCAACCATATATACTTCAGTAAAATCAACAAATTCAGAAATTTATGATGCCCGGATGCCATTTCACAGCAACAATAACCAGCCAAGAAGGAAAGCACTGTGATGTAACAAAGGAATGCGTAGTTTCAAGGTTGCAGTCAGGGAAACAGTTAACCCCGAGGTAGTAAACTTACTATGTCTCTACAGTATAACTCTGCCTCTTGCTCTCTTAGGGGCCAATTTCTGCTTTGCCCCCTAAGCTCCCTTTCAGCCCCCTCCTTCTCCTTCACAGTGAAATGATAGGTGTAATATGTCCCAGCCCTCTGAGCCATGGCTGACTCATCACTCTATCTCACTGCCCTCCAATATGAATTCACTTCAGGCCTCACTGCCTAGATAAGATAGGGCATCAAACGACTGGGAAGACGTCCTCAGATTCACTTCCTTTCTTTATCGCTCTGCACGCCGGCAGAATATTAAAACACTGATGAATAATGGGAAACCTCATTCGAGGTAACTTCTATCTAGTTTCTTAGATAGTCAACATTTTCTGCCTCACAATGATGGGTGAACAAAACAAAACATATAAAAAGGACTCGCTTCTTCATTTGTAGTGTTTGATATGAAAAACTGGCTTTGTTTGAAAGGAAGACCTCTACGTACCAAAAGCCAGCATCCATGTTGCTAAGCAGCAGGTAACCAGCCAGGAGCCAATACATGTTGTAGGCAAGGCTTCCAAGAAATGAGAAATAATTGGATGCAGATGACTAATATCTGTTTGGCATGAGTGCAGACAGGCTTGTAAGATGACAGTATTAAATTTGATTTGTATTAGTTTATTTATATTGAATCCTTTACAGCAGGTAATGCATGTTCCTGTTGATGGATTAGCACCTTGTTTTTTAATTTACAATGATTAAGATTGGTCGTTACACTCGTATTACTATGCTAATAGGATGGCACAGGCACATGCATTTATACCTCCACCAACCACGCACAGACCCACATACATAGCTGTAGAGAGAGACACTCTTGTGTGTGATTGTTTCACGCCTCCCACCGTGAGGAGTCATAAAATGAATTCAGGTAGCAAACAGACCAACAAACAGACATGAACACGAAATCACACACTTCACACCAAAGCTCTGGACTATTTTACACAGGCTCTTTGTACACTTAAACATTAGCTTAACGATTATGTTATGTGGTGATTAAGTGGAAATTTACACATCACTAAATGACCAAAGAACCTGCTCATTCCCAAAAGATTAGATTACCAAATACTTTCTGCTAGCAACTGAACGGTGTAACCACTGAGTATCTAACAAAGCTAACAGACAAAGCTAACAGACAAAGCTAACGTTAGCTTGGTAATTCATGACAAAAATCATTGAAAATGAAGTTATAAAGTTCATAAAATGTAAAGGGCCTTTCAGATAGGACAAGGTGTGCGCTGCGCTCGCCTTGGGGAGTGCGCAGGACCAAAAAGCAACTGCACCTGTTGCTGGCTGACCAAAACATTAGTTGGGAAAATAGCTAGAGTAATTTGTATTTGTATCTGTCCACTATTAAGTAGTGGACAGCTCTAGCTGACAGTCCCTAGCTAACAATATAAAAAACACCCAAGCCTTTACTAGCTTTTTAGGAAAAGTCTGACATTTTGAAAAATAAAATGTTATCAAATGAATTGTTTCTAAGTTGCTGTGAGTTAAATGAGGAAATCAACATCATTCTGAAGTTTTTAGGTTAGTGGGGTGCAGGTTTAGCTCAGTTGGTCGAGCAGGCGTATGTGTAGAGGATTCACCTCCTCACACAGGTCACTGGTTTGACTTGAGGTCAGCAACCATTTGGTGCATGTCATCCCCGACTCTCTCTCCACACATTTCCTGTCACTCTTCAGGTGCCCTTTCCAATAACGGCACTAGGTTCAATTGTTATTATTTATTATTTTAAATGCTGCAGGTTAGCTTAGCTGGAGACTCAAAACAGGGTGAAACAGTTAGCCTTGTCTCTCTCCAATAGGAAGCAACACATGCCAGTACATTTAAATGCTTAATCACTAAATATAGCATTTTTTTGAGTATGACTTGTAAAAAGGTTAAGTGTAAAAACAACCTTTTTAACAGGCTTATGTACAGTATATGTCTTGGCTGTTCCAAGACAATTGTGTTGCTTAGCAACTGGTAGAGATTCCAGGAACTTCTTTCATCCAACTAAGAAATGTCCCCTACACCCACCAACCCCAAACTCCTGTAGACCAGACAATAGTCATTTTTTAATTTTGAATTTGAACTCAGACATAATACTTTAATATGTTAACTTAAGGGGTACTGGTAGGAAGATTATTTTACCTTTAGATGATTCTGCTTTTAAGCAATCAATCTGGCTTTAGCTCCTTTTTAACAGATGGATGTGAGATTCATACTGAAACTAGCTTCTACAAAAAAACTCATATAGCTTACTTGTAAAACAGGTAAATGGTTTACTGGTGCGACTAAGTCCAGGCTAACTGAAGATGACTGAAGGTTTAAAATCTGGAATCTAAAATAGGCACTCTAACAACATTGTCAGGACAGATCAATAAAGTGTGCCTCTTGTTCTTTTTTCCCCAATCACTCCTCTCCTCACTCTCAAACAGATGTCTGTCCAGATAAGCTGTCCATTTTGAAGCTGCAGAGCCACGTTTCCCTCCCCAAGGCTATCTTTGAGGGGCCGGATAACTCACTAGCTCCCACTGCGACGCACAGCACAGATAATAAAACTCTCATTTGACGTCGCAGACCACTGGTCCAGTGTACAAACCCATTTAACAAACAATAAGTGCATCACCACAGACGTATCTGCCACATCAACCGCTGAAGGTCAGTTTGAGACTGTGCACAGAGGCTGAAGGAACACTTCATACATGTTCGGGGGCCGTGTTAACCGAAAGGTTAGAGGAGATGTTTTAGTCTCCATGGTAGCCATTATCAGGCTGGAATTCTTCCTGTTTTTATGGGCAATTATAAAAAGAAAGAGCTATCATCATAAAAAAAAAAATAATAATAAAAAAAAAAGATGATACCCATGGTGTCAGAGCAACATAATGATACTTTCATTTCACATAAACAAAAAAAAGATGTATCCTGGCTTCACCAAGGAAACTGCTGCTGTGCTGCACCGCTGTGCTGAATATAATTCCTCCCACACATCTTGCACAACTTGTCCATTCTGCTTTTTATTTCAATGAGACCACTAATAATAAAAGTGAGTCACAGCAGATGGATAGACAGCTCTTTGGTCAGCCGGGCCATCTGTTACCGTTCCAACGGGCATCCAGTCACCCTTACGCTGAACTGATTCAGGACCTGTAACACACACTGATGTGCTGATGCGGCATATGGGGACTTCTACCCTTCCAGCCCCTGTCATTAACAGACCATCAAGAGGTGAATAACCAGAGCTGAAGCCGACACACAAGGGGGCTGAGACATGTGCATACACTCCATCCCTCATGTACTGAAACAGTAACACATTCCAGTATGCTCCTGAACATCCCTTCTCATAGACATCTACCCATGTGAACACATACATGCACATTTACTCACCAAGGGCAGCAGAAAGATTGCAGTCAGCAGGTAGCCTCTCATTGTCTCCAGTGAAGAGCTCAGATCCTAAAGGCTCCACAGTATGTGTGTGAGTGTGTGTTCAGAGGGATGCACTGAAATTGCTGTCCCTCAGCGTCAGCACACTTCAGCATGAAGGGCTCTGAAATACAACACACAGAGGAAAACAGCTACGTCAGAGCAGGAAAAGAGCAAGAACATATCGGTCTATTCATTTGTTCTACTAGTTAATGCCATATAAGAATCAAACATGTTCTTAAATATAACATACTTTCACCATGTGGAACAATTAACTTTTTTAATACTGTAAGTTGACATGCTTTAGAAATGATTACTAAGTGTAGTAATTAAAATGATAGCTGCTAAGAGAGAAGTGAGGAAGAGGGAGAAGTGATTTTTGCTTTTTCCGTTCTCTCATATCAACTTATTCCTCTTTAATGCCTCCTCAGTGTTATTTAGTATGGAAACACGGATAATGAGGGTGAGCAATGGGACCAAAATGTCAAAGAAATCCTTTTCAGACAATGATACAAACCATGATATAGGACATAGACTGTAAATAAACTTAACATATAAGGTCATCATGTAAAGGCCTATTTCTTGTGACTTTCTCAATTCTATTTTAAATATATTCTCCACAAATCCCTTCTTTCAAGTACCAAGCGTCTTGTTTTTATTGGCTGTTCAGACTTGTTCTTGGAAAGATCCAATATAGTTTGACTTTTGCTCCACTGCTTTATTTTTTGTTTTTGCCTTCATGCAAATCAGTTTGATACATCTGTGCTGGTGAAATAAAAACATTAATAGATAAAATAGATAATGTAAACATAATGCCGTAGTGTGTGACTGCTACACAATGAAATAAACGAGGGAATATTATAAAAGGAATAAATACATTTTCTCAATTTTTGTCATCATATTTGCCTCAATTGTCTGTTCACTTACCATTGTTGCTGAGTGTATCTAAAGTTAACCAGAGTTTATTACTGATTTCAGTTAAACCATGAACTGTCAAATTAGAAAATGTATTTACTCTTTATTGTCTTCTTTCACATGATGGAGCAACATTTTGAGCTCTCTGATTATTGTAGCTCTGGGGCATCCGCCTAACGGTTAATGTGCGTACCCCATGTACAGAGGCTATAGTCCTCGAGAGCAGGATGCCCGGGTTCAAATCCGTCCTGTGGTTCCTGCATGTCACTCCCCACTCTCTCTCTCTCTCTCTCTCTCTCTCTCTCTCTCTCTCTCTCTATCCCTGGTTTCTGACTCTATCCACAGTCCTATCTCCAAAGTAGAGGCATAAAAAAGCCTGAAAACAAATCTTAATGACCATTTTAATAAAAAGAAGAAAAAGAGTTGTAGCTCATTAGACCAAGATTTTTTAGACAACTTTCTGTCTTTAAAAAGAAAAAAGAAATCTCATATTTTCCATCACAGCTGTTAATATTTTATTTGGATGATCCAATCAGGCGACTCTTATGCTGATCAATGATGTGCATGAAAACAGAATTAATGAGACTTTTAGTATTCAACCATGGGCAACCAAAATTGTTCCTCATGGTTTTCACCCTTAGGACACAGTTGATTCAAATGAACCTGAAACTTAACACTGTTTGACCTTTGAGTTTGAGGATTAAAAGACAGGAAACAGTTATACTTCTTGGTCAAATTGGTATTTAAACTGAAGCTAAACATATTTTTTACATGACATACTGAAACTATGTTTGTGTCAAACCATCACACACCTCCTTTGTGGGTATGTATCACTTGATATGTTATCCCAACAGACTCTCCCTCATGAAAACCTTCTGAACCAAACCACAGAGGCGACATTTGTTTTCCACTGATGTTGTTCTCTTCTACAGAGGACATGTCATCACCTGAATTCTCAAATAAAGCAGAGGCATGAGACACAGACGGGATTTATAAAGGAGAGGTTGATTACCAATGGAAATAAATTGTAAGGATCTCATCCTTGAGGACTAAAAAACTGATGTGCCTCATGCTCAGATTTTAAAACAACCCCTCCCCCCCCCGAATCCCCTCCCCGCATGACTTACTCATCCACACTGCTTCCTGAAAACACAATGATTCACCGCAAATACAAAGCACACTAGCCTGCACCAGCAGAGACACATAACACACACATGCAATCACATAAACAACACACACACGCAGGCACACACACACACACACACACACACACACACACACACACACACACACACACACACACACACACACACACACACACACACACACACACATGTCTTCTCCTTTAGCTAATTCATGCACACACAGAGACAAATTCCATTCTGTGTCTCTTCTCTCTCTAGTCCCGAATCCAATTACCTCTAAAGCATCTCTCTCTCTCGGATGCTTTATCAAGTAACAAGACAGACCGTGCTCCGAGGAAAAACCCTGAGATAAAGAGGAGGGATAACATGAGTCAAGAAGGGCTGAGAAAAACTGTCGAGATTCACATTTAGACCCCCAAAAGACACAATCAGACTTAAGAAAGACTAAAACAGAAACACACAGTGACATCTTGGCAGACATGGGACTGATTCGCTCCAAATTGTCTCCTTCTGTTTAACGCAAAATGTAACAGGAGCCATGTTTCTGAACAATGTTGTAAAACTGACATAAGTACACGGTATTTGGAACAAATCCATGGCTTTGGTTTGGTTTGAGGGAAGCACTTGAGCAGGAAGGGTGAAACATCAATGTATTCCGAGGGCAAGAAAGCAGGAGAGTGTTTGCTCTGCTTAACATTTGAAACATGAGACATGTTAAAAAACTGTGAAGGGAAAAAAATTGGAGTGGTATTCAGTTCAGTGTCTATACAAGTGGAGCAAGGTACGCACTAAATAAGTAATGCTGTAACAACATCAAAGAGCAGCTTTTGTGAGGATTACAAATCTTGAAAAAAAGCTAAATCAAGTTTAAGGCACTGAACCTGACCAAAAACTGACCAGAAAACCCCAAAATAATCAGAGTAACTTCAGTCTAAAGGAAAACTGGGAACCCCATCATTTATAATTAGCACATGCATCATCAGGTTGTCAACCGACTGCAAGCACCTTTGAGTGTGCTTACACATGAATAATGTGTGTAGGTGTTCAAAGATGCAACAGATAGGGAGAAACGTGGTGAAAAAGCATGCACCATCTTTTAAATGATTTATCTCCATTTTAAAGAGAATTTTAAAGAGCTGTCTCAACATATCAGCTTCCTCCTTATGTGTGTTGTGAATTCCTCTGAACATTGTGCTGCATTAATAATTCAATTTCAGCTTTAAAGGATCCCAGTGAGACATGAGAGCTTTCATTTTAACCCAAATGCAAGTCTGTTAATGTCTGGGGATTGCATGTCCATCAGAATGCAACAACATAAGCATCAAAAGCATTATGTCTGAGCAGCTTTGTGAAGATGCTCCTGTGCCACAGTCACACAGATTATATAGACTACATGACAGGCGTATCAGTCTATGTGTACAGTTTAAATTCCAGGTAAATGTCAGGCGGTTTTTTGGGGGGCATGTAGGAGGGAGAGAAAGAAAAACACGAAACAATCTTAATTTCAACACAAACGTTTTTTTTTCCCCACATACTTGTGCAGAATCAATAGGCTAATTTAGCCCAGCCTCTTTTCCATTTTATTCCCGCATACGTTAACGTTCAATCCATCAATACATGTGGGTGACCTTCGCTTTGCACATGGAAAACATCAGCAAGAAAAGCGCCAACCAATCGTTCATTTGCTGATCAGTCTTTCGCGAAATCTAGCTCCAGCGAGCTTTCTGTCATTCAAGAAGTCACGCGCATTCCCCCATATATAGCCTTCAGTGTAAAGTGAAAAAACCCTCTTAACTGATAAACCGCAGATATGAGTGGGAAAGCGTGCAGCAGTCGGCGTGGAAAGCAAGTCATATGAACTTACCGATGCGTAATTTTCAGAGGAGCGAATATCTACACATGAAGCCATCGGTATTCATGGTTCCCTGCCATGTCTGGCTGCGAATTATTTCGAGGAACACCTTATTTCACTCCTAAAATGGTTAAAAGATCGCACTGAAAACGACAGGTGCCGTTAGTGCTGCTGCTGTTGCTGCTGCAGGACGCACTCACCGCGCTGGCTGCTGCTGCGGCACCACGACGACGAGGAGGAGGAGGAGGAGGAGGCGGAGGAGGAGTGTGTCAGTTCCTTCGGGATTCGCACCTCGTCAGACAAAAAGGCATCAAAGTGAGGCCACAGTTTAGTCTATAGATGCAGCTGGAGGAGGAGACTTTTAAAAAATATCTCAGAATGAGGATGTTAGGCTTGGAGGGAAGTCATCGTCCATGTCTCCGCGTCGCAGGCGCGGGAATTTGTTGCAGAACTGAAACTATTCAGAAAACTAGTTGACATTTGCGCATGCGCAGACCAGACTCTCTTCGAGGCACAGAATCCTGTTCCCTGCTGGGTATAATTTGTGAGACCTCGTCATGTGAATGACTCACTTTTAGTGAGAAGTTAAACATCCGAGTTCCCGCATGTACACTACCAGAGTGCTTTAAAGTCCAAAAAGCAGCTTAAATCCCATGGAGGTTACTTGTGTGGCCTCTGGCAATCCTGTTTACTTTCAGCACCACGGACAGCGACAGAATAATCGCCTCAGGGCACCAAATGGCTCAAAGCAAAGCAAAGCCTCAGCCCAAGTCCATTACAACATTTTAACTGCAAATAATCAACCTCCTCTGTCTGAATACTAAGAACTGCTTTAATTAAATCTCAACAGGACTGTTATGATGCAGGCAGGGGGTGACTTCATAAACAGTCCTAAAACAAGGTCTGTATAAACCAGCAGCAAGACACAGCATTAAAAAAAAAGATACAAAATGACCACATAGATGCAAAGGGAACACAACAAGATTACAAAATCAGCAACTACAACACAATGTGAACAAACACCAACAGCTATAATTACCACAAACAGACACAAATCCACTAAAAGGCACAGAACAACCACGGCAAAAACTACAAAGGCATACAAAACAACTACAACAAGACAGAAAGAAGAACTGCAAACAGAGTAGACCCAAAAAAAGTAAAGAGAAGAAAAAATAATAAACGAGACACAGCTTGACCACAATCAGGTGCAATACAACCAGAGACAATAAAAAATTGAGATGCAAAACAACTTCAAAGACACTAACTGAAAATTACACAAAACACATGTAAAGTGTTGTGACACTGTACCATCAGGAAATTGACAAAACACCACCTACTGGAGGAAAGGGACACAAAAAGCCTTCAGAAATTTCAAAACCGTTTCAAAGAATCAGAATTTCACCGCAAAAAGACAGAAAACAACCATGATTTTCAAACAAACATGAAGAGCAGCTAGAACGCACACATACAACACAAAATGACCACAAACATGCAAAACAATCATTAAGAGACACAAGGCAATAATGAAGAGATTGGAAACGAAAACAACATAATGCAAAACTACAACCCAATAGAGACACAGAAACTTCTAGAAGATGTGAAACAACCTCAAAGACTCGATTACAACCTCAAAGAGCGAAAGGCACACAGTCACTACTAGTCTCTTCGTCAAGGTGCTGTCACCTTTTTTTGAATAACAATTGGCAGTTTAATGATACTTCAAATGAAAAGTTTATTTTAAAATCATTTATAATGCTGATTAAAGAATGCAACAATTGCTTTTGTATAGCTTACGGATGCTAAAAAACCAGGGCACTACATGAGTCATTGCATAAATCATTGCAATTGATGCCCAAGTGTGGTCTCCCCTTCAGTTCCTAGACATGCCCCTGGATCCAGGCTAGACTATTTTCCTTTGCAGCTCAATGCAGGGCTTGTGTTTGGGGTGCAGGAGTGATTGATCACCGGGCTCGGGTCTTTTGATGGGTTGGCAATAAATCAATGAGGCATAAAAAAGTATTAAAGCCTGCAATGATGTGATGTGGTTATTCAGATAGAACAGAACAGAAAAAGCAGAGGCCATAATAACATCCATGAACACACCAGTCCTAATCAAAATGTATTAAATGTTGAAAAAAAAAAAAAATCAATATAACGTCTGATTGGATGAAGGGTGGTGACGCATGTTCGCTGCAATTCCCAGAATATTTTAATGCTGTTACTGGATCTTGCCTCAAGGACATCCATGAAAATGCTCCCATTGAGAGAAATGAAAAAAAAAAAGAGTCAGCTATAGCATTAAGCGATCTGTAGGTCTTTTTTTTTTTTTTTTGCAGCACAGTACAGGGAAGACAATTGTTAGATCCTTGTTTCCATGGTACACACACAGCTGCATAATGCAAGTGTTTATGACTTCTAATTTATAATCTATTTTTGTATTATACTGCTGTGATAATTAACATTTCATTTAGACTGTTTGGAGCGTAAAGGTGAGAAAAACTGAAGAAAAATAGTTGTAATTCCCATGTCTCTATATTTTGGTATTTTTGTAATGTCTTCATTGATTTTGTCTTCGCAGCATAAACTTATCGGTACAGCGTTTCAGGCATTCACTGAAGGACACTATGACATTGACGCCGGGAACCATAATTGAAATGCCTGAGAGGGTCAAACCTAAAATGGTCTCTCTGACCCAAAGGCAACGTGGGTTTCATGTGGAATAAGGTTGAATGAAAATCCAAAACTACAGTTGGCTTTGTCAAATATTTAAACTGTACACTTTAAACAATTTACTTATATGCAATACATGATTGCAAATATGAGTGTCAGGAAATTGAAAATGAGCCAAATACAGCTGTGAAAAGAAGGGATTTCATGCTTCCAGTGCTTTATTGATATAACAGAGTCTCTTGAAGGTGTGTATGCTCCACTCACCCAACACTCAATGAGGCTCTCCACGGGACATTTGACTCTCTCTGTCTGTCTCTCTCACTTCTGCCATCACACACCAATCACACTGTTGGATCTCCATGGTGACTCGTTTTCCACTGAATGTGGGAGTGAAGCTCCAAGTGGTCGAGTGAGAAACCCACAAACCCATCTGATCTCAAGGAGTACACTGTGGGGAACCAGGCAAGACCTCCCTTCTTACCCCTCAGCTTACGTCTCCATCCTCCTCCCACAGATCGCTCTCCCACTGAGGATCTAATCAATGGGGGATGAATCAATCAACTGTGCACGTTAGGAAAGACACAGAGAGTACTTTGTAAGAAGAAGATGCACAATGATCACAAGTTAAATGTAAAAATTAATCACTGCCCTGTGGTTGAGGTCAAGTTTCAGTTTAGGAAGTTTAACAATAAAAACTTCATGTGTGTGTTCTCATGCTGGGCAAATATGGTTCATTCTGACATGAACACATGTGGAAGTCATTGCATTACACAAAGCTTTTAATATCATGCAGCTGTCTACTGATTCAAACACAAGGATACTTCATGTAAATCTTGCCATAGTTTTGAACATGGACATCTAGGGTCAGTGTCACCAGTTTAACATCTAAGCAAATATGACACTCTCAATCTTGCCTACTTTTTCTGAATTTTGGCTTTAAATAACAGCAATAAAAGACACTTGTGAAGAACTTTCATTTTGTCACAATGAAGATGATTTTTAAACTTTAGGGTACAAAATACAGCTCTACTTTTAATTTGTGATCTATTGCCTATTAATCAATATTTTCTAGAGTTTTTCCTTTTTTATTGTGCACATGCACCAACACACACATATCAAGAGGATACTCCTGCAACTGATAACATATCATTCATTCATTTGTTGTTGCAGGTAACATGCAAAGAAATATACCTCAACATACCATGCAATGGCACAGTTAGAAAAAAAATTAATACTTGCCTCAAATGCTCTATGTAGGAACATAAACTAATAGTCATGAACTATGACCATCAAACCAGAGATACAGGGTCCAACGTTTGGATAAGGTCAGACTGACCAGTCAATTCTAAAATTAAATGCAGAGCTGAATCCCAGAATCCCCTGAATCTCAAAGCAAGTTTAAGGCCTCTGATCATTTGTTAGGTGTTTGAATGTCTGTATCTTTTCTTAATTTTTATGTTTGCAAATGGAGCCGCTGTGATGCAAGACAAATTTCAGACTATACATTTCAAACAATCAATCAATCAATCAATCAATCAATCAATCAATCAATCAATCAATCAATCAATCAATCAATCAATCAATCAATTTGATACATTTGATACATTTGAAATATGTTTTACAACAAACTAAACTCTGCCCAGTGCTACAAGTGTTTACTGCTATGTGTGAAGTTTTCTACCCCTTAATGTTCAGGAGCTACTGATTTCTTCCACTGAGTGCATTCCACCATTACTTCTTTGGCTCTGTTGTTAAAAAAAAAGGGCAAGCTTTCAAACTGAATGAATTGCAACATTTGCCTTAGCCTCTTAGTTTACTCACAGGCTTTATGGCTGGGCCAGTCGAACTATTCTAACGCTGTGATATAAAGAACTGGCTGTAGATGAAGGGATTGGATTTCTTGCAGATAGGAGTGAAGATACACGTGTTAATATGCAGACAAAGGTTCTTGTATCAATTCATTTTGGTGGAGTTAATCCTCGCTGCAGGAAATTAAATAGAGACTTTTAAGGGTGGGCAGTAGCACAAATTGGAATTTTATCTTTTACCAAATCATACTGGGGTCGAATGACTGAATGTAATATTAAAAGTAACTGAATATTAGTGTTTGCTAAGAAACAAATAATCTGCAAAGCCTGAGTCAATTCTTTTGGAGTTTTACTGTAATGACCTTGTAAAATAATTAACTTTATTTATAGAATACAAAAGTGAAGAATAACTGTACTTTACGGCAATGATAGTGGAAAAACAACTGTCACTCAAAAACAGACCCAATTCTGCATTTCTGGTCATTATATTAAGTGTTTTTAAATATTTAAGGTCCAGTGTTTGGCATTTTAACATTTACAAATCATTGATTGGGATAAATTAACATTAATACCCAAAACAAACAAATTGCTGCCAAGACCATTGGCAGCTTCCACCCGGCCATTTCATTACAGTTTGTACGTTGCAGGGTTCAGATTTCACAGTTAGTCTGCTGGGTGGCTTCATGGCACAAAAAATGAAGGAAGAGGAGGAGGAGGGTTGCTGATCTTCCTGAAGAGAAGCGGCTAATATTTTCTCGCAGTGGCAGATGGTGAGATGAGCAAAAGGCTGATGGAAAACTGTCAGTTCACAGTTATGAGCTCTCGCCCTCCTTCTTGCTCTTTAAAAACAAAATGCACATGGAGATGTGCCAGTGAGTCGCGGGGAGGATAAAATGCCGAAATGTGTTCTTCATTTCATGAGGAATGAGCACAAACCAGCT